CAACCTTTTCCGTCATGTTCTTTCTCAGTTAACTCATATCATAGACTCGATGGGGTGTGGGATTCGGTCCCCGTGACTGCAGCGACTACCAAACAGGCATCAGTGTGATTCCGATTGAAAGACTTACGGAGGCTGATCGGAAATGGATGCTCACCGCGGAATATGGCGGCACTGGCGGAAGGACCATCGAGTCCGGAATGGTCGTCGAGGAGCCTGACATTGAGATTGGCGCTGGTGTATCCTCCAAAGGTTTGTTAGCACCATGTCTACCCTAATTGACCACGCAGCTAATGTTTTGCAACAGCTATCAGCAGAAGGATTGCTACCGACACTGGCGGCAAGCGTGGACCTGTCTCTTCCCGCACGCAGCAGGACCGATTCCGTCGGCCGGAACGCGATGGACCTGCCAACGGTATGGGCATGGGTGGCTCGGTGGAGCGCGAGATACCCAATGCCAACAATGTCGGTGTCCCGCCTGCAGTGCCTGGCTTCGGCTTCTCATTCCCCGGCATGCCCATGTTCCCTCCCGGCTTTATGATGGGAGGAGCACAAGCTGGATCTGGTGGTGCGGCACAGCCGCCTCCTCCAGGCCAAGGAAGCAATTAGCTATGAAGCATGCTATTTCAACGACAATTAGCCCCTGCTCTCCATCATCTCGTTCTTCCCTTGTTTTGATACCACTATTTTCTCTTCGTCTCTTCCCATTTGTCTCTCTATCTCTTTTCTCCTTCTTTCTACTCTGCAACGTTCACATGTAAATCTGTTTCCGCACACCCCCAAAAATAATCGGCGTTGGCGCTTTCGTATCCATTGTTCAGCGGAAGGCATACGCTTTATGAGTGGGCGTTCTTAAAGGCGGGTCAAGAGCACGGCATCTCCCATGTGGCTCCACAATGTATCCCCCCTATGTCTTTGTTGCTTTAATTCTTCGCATAAACAGACGTCTCGACACACAGCGCTTGTTGGAGAAGTGAGTGGACCGAAGTTCGCTGGCTCGAACACTTGCTGAACCATTCAGTGTCTCAGTCTACCTGATCTGTTTTCCTTCTACTTCTTGCTTCTTTCTTGTCTTCCATATCTACCTGTATTCGCAACCCGCTCATATCTACCCGGGAAAGGGTGGCTCTTGTGATGTGCTGTATTACTTTTCTGTGTTTTTCCTCCTTGCTTTCTCCTTCTATTAAACGAAATGCTAGTTGGCTGATAACCGCTTCCCGTGTTTCTGTTCTGCACCTACGTTTCAAACTCTTTTCCTTCTTCGCTTCCTGTGCATATTTGACCTCCCACTTATTCACCTGAATTCATAAGTTCTGAGATCGGTTCCATCTCTTTTCTTGTACAACATCGTAAACATCCTTGGGCACTTGCTATGCGCAATTCGCCACTCCTGTAGTCACTCATTTGGGAGGCAAAATCACGAGCTACTATATGATGAATGGTCGCTACGTATTAGATGCTGGTTTCTTACCCATCAACGACTGTTTGCCCGTAGTATATAATTTGACCTTGTAGTAATGTGTGATGCAGGCGCTCCACCCAGGCGGCCTTCTTATGCATTTTCTTTCCCCTTTATTATCTTGATTTGAGTATTGTATTAGGTTTCTACGAAGGGCCCGCTCCCTATTGAAAACTAGATGCTTCATATTGGTATCATCTCGCTTTCGTCAGAATAGTACGTGAAAGTGTCTGTCCGGCCTGTGCACTGGGAATTCTTCATTCCTACCCATGCGCGTTGTCATTTAAGGGTCTGCGTGATGGTGTCTGATTCGGCCCCAACCCCAAGTTTCCATGAAAGAAGCGCAGAACCAGCCACTGCCTCCCCAGCCAGAACTTGGCAATTCCTTTCACCAGTGAAAGCATGGTTCATAGAGCACTAGCAGCCCTGAACGACTGCTCAAAGTCGGCAATGATATCATCGATGTGCTCGGTACCCACCGAGATGCGGATTCCATCCTCAGTGACTCCAGAGTCAATGCGTTCCTGCACGGTAAGCTGTTCATGAGTCGTGGACCAAGGGTGAATAGCGAGGGTCTTCATATCTCCAACACTGTAGATGACATGATTAGCAGCCGAAGCTTCAAGATGAGTCCAGCCCCCACCGCAGATGGTCTTACTTTGCGAGATTGCTGATCAGCTTAAAGCCGTCAACCACCTGACTGCCAGCAGCAGCACCTCCCTTGACCCCAAAAGAAAGAACGCCACCAAAGCCATGCTTGAGATAGCGCTTCGCCGTCTCATGGCTTGGGTGGTCCTCCAATCCTGGGTATGAGACCCAAGAGACATTTTCGTTCGTGCGAAGCCAGTTGGCTAGCACTATAGCATTGCTCGCATGCCTCTCGGCACGTAAACTCAAGGTCTCGATGCCGAGGAGAAGCTGTTGCGCGGCAAAAGGGTTCAGAGCTGATCCAAGATCTCTCAATATCTCCACTCGCACCCGAATGGCAAAAGCAAGGGGACCAAAGGTTTCCCAAAACTTCAAGCCATGGTAGCCTTCGGAAGGTTCTACAAACTGTGGAAAGCGTGCTGCATGCTTTCCCCAGTCAAACTTTCCGCTGTCAACAACTACACCAGCAACAGTGGTGCCGTGACCTCCAATCCACTTGGTGGCGCTGTGTACAATAATGTCGGCCCCGTGCTCAATGGGACGGCAGTAATAGCCGCCGGCGCCGAATGTATTGTCGACCTATATAGCACCCTAGTATAAGTTGCAAAATTCTCTTCAGGAAATTATACCAGCGCCCTTAAACAAACACTTACCACTAGGGGCACGCCCTTTTCGTGGGCTACCTTAGCGATGGCTTCAAAGTCGGGTACATTGTAGCGGGGGTTTCCGATAGTTTCAACGTAAACAGCCTTTGTACGGTCGTCAATGGCTGCAGCTATGGCCTCTGGGCTGTCTCCCTGGACGAATTTGGTTGTGATTCCCAAACGAGGGAATAGAACTTTGAACTGGTTATAGGTGCCACCGTACAGGTTGCTGGTGGACACGATATTATCGCCAGCATGGGCAAGGGCAGATATGGCCATGAACTGCGCAGATTGACCCGAAGAGGCCGCGACGGCTGCGACACCACCTTCAAGGGCGGCGATACGTTTCTCAAAGACATCCACAGTGGGCTGTTTATTTCTTCTAGGTTAGTTGATCACTAGAACTAGCTATTGATGCAATGCTTATGAGGGGAGTAAAAACTAGACTCACGTTCATAATCCGACTATAGATGTTGCCAAACTCTTTGAGACCAAAGAGTCTGGCGCCATGTGCGGAGTCATTGAAAGTGTAGGACTAACAGAGATCTGATCAGAATTGACTGCACATGATACCCAGAGCTTGAAGATATTGGCTTACCGTGGTGGCATAAATTGGTACTGCTCGCGAATGGGTCTCAGAATCTGGTTCATGACTTGAGAGAGGAATGTCAGCGGGAGCCTGTGGTATGACAGGTCGATGGAGGGGTCAGTATGCACATACCCCGCATGAAGCTGTAGAGTTTCAAAATGGGGCTGCTTAGATTCGGACATGTTGCTGCTCTTCAATGGGACGCTATTGTTCCAGCTTGTATACTTCCGAGTAAAACAAGGACTAAACAGGGAAGACAATGAGGGAACAGATTGGCCGCGGTGGGAGACGTATAATGGGAACAGGTAGTGACATGGAAACGACACATGCTCGCATTGTGGTAGATCTACTGAACGACTAAGCAATCGACGACGACGATGGCGTGATTCGATGGAGCAAGAACAAAGGACGAGGGGAGGGAAAGGCGGGGGAGGCGATGGATCCCGGACGGTAGAAATTCTATCTACTTATGTACCTTACTACTACTCAGTCCTGATCAGATGTGCCATGTTACTAGTGGTCTAGGTGCTTTTAAGTCCTGCTCCTGCATGTCTATGTAGACATTAATATGCCACCAACATAAGAATTGATTAAAATTGAGTACGACTTTGTTGTGGGATATCCTATAGTATTAAGAGTGCATACAGTATACACACTCTCACTTGGCTCATCCGGGCGCTAAAAGCGAGAGGCCCACATATTGAACCGGATGTGCCTGATTTCTCCGCCCCAAAACCTGTCCAACAACTGCATGCAGGCTCGATCAACTGCCCTGTGAGCATAGCTATCTACTACCTACAGATCGGTTCCTGGGAGAGGGGACTGTACCTTGTATAATACTTTTTATGCTTCACCACTCACTGGGCCCAGGACGATAATATAAATGGATATATGGTTCAAGAATCTACGTTTGCGTCATTTTAAACAACACAGCCAACGCGGGGGATCTCCGTCTCCTAGCCCTCATACTACTAGTACATACTACTAATTATGGTACGTAGTTGCTGCCTATAAGTTCTTGCAATGGGCGTCATGTGTGTGCGCCCTCAGGGTCCAGTTGGCATCCCTTGGCCGTGTCTAGTAGTAGTGCGCCACCAACTCACTAGGCAGACATCTCAGCCCTGTTTGACACAGTACAAACCAACTCTTATGTTTTTAGTCTTTTTGATTTTCCCTCTTACTATTTCTTACTTTTTCAAAAGGAAAAAAAAGTATCTTATGAGATCATCGCCTGCTTGGCCTTTTCTCCAAATCACCAATCCTAGCAAGCTGTTGGACCGAGGCACTCGCGGCCAGAGAGGCAGCCCGTCCCGTTCATTCCAGCATTGCAGGCAGATTCACAAGCTCACTGAGTTTCCTCATATTTTAGCTTCGTTATAGCGTCGGGATCTGCGACTGATGCTGCAGGCGCTGCGAATCAAAAAGTTTCAATACGAGATGGCCCTCCGAACAATGACGGTATTGTCTTTCCAAGTAATTCTGCTGTGTACTTAAGTACACTACTTTGCTTGGATGGGCAGGCAGCCCCGAATCTCCCCAGCCCAACTGGCGGTCTGAGAGATTCGTTGGACTCTTGTTACCGCGCCACAAAGTCGCCTAATCAAGATTGAAAAACATAAGTCTTCGGCCTGCATGTGTGCAGGTGCATTATCGCTGGTTCTTTCAAACGTCGAAGAAGAGACAGAAATAGCACAAGTCAAGCAAGGTACCTAGAAAGGTCAGTCACTGCCTGTTCGTCAGCCCACACACACCCACGTCACAGCCTTAAGCGCACATTGGCTTGAGAACTTGAAACAGCATCCGCCTGTGCAACAGCATGTGACTTGCCATCGTTCAGGCGCTATGCGCTCATAATAGTTCTCTTCGTCCAACGTATATGAAGATCATTCCTGCCCTCCACACCCATTCGTTTTTCTAAGCGTCAACTAACCCACGAATTCCTCAGAAAAGAGCTGCAGCGCCGCGCAGACTGAGTGTAGTAGATAGGACATCTACCAGCACCATCATCAACGCGAGCTCCCAATTTCAATCATGGCTGTGAATTTTCCATGGATCTACCCTGTTCGGGTAATCCAGGCCCTCTTCGGAATAATTGTCCTTGCTTTAACCGCATACTGTTCGTTGAATCATTATATCACACTTCAAAGAAGAATTGTAAGTAGCTGACATATGACAGACATCAGTTGGTTCGCGTATAGTAGTGACTCGCCCAATTTCATGCTTTTCGTGGCGTGTTGGACAGCCTTCCTCGCAACTCCCTATCTTGCCTTGGCGCCAGTGTTCTTCCCCCAGTTGGCGCATCGGATCGTCATTCCAGCTGTCGAAGTGATTACCATGATATTCTGGTTCGCAGGATTCATCGCCCTAGCCGTATTCCTCCCACCAACAGAAGCCTGTCACTGGAGCCGTTGCAGTGCGTTACAGGCCGCAGTTGTGTTTGGTGCATTCGAGTGGTATGACTTCCCTCTGATCAAGATTGCCAGCTTCAGCGCTCTAGCAGAAATGTTCAGCAGTGTATAGCGGGATCTGAAGGATGTAGTTGATGTGCATTGTTGCTAACATGGATCGCGTAGGGTACTATTTCTGGTTACTTCCGTTTTCGCTGTCCTCGGCATTTCGCGTACCCGGTCCAGCTCCAGTACGAAGCCCACCCCTAACGATCATACCCACGTTGGCGTCTAAATGGAGTCGATAGTGACGGTTCCATGATATATTTCGAAACGAAAGGTAGAGCGACTATTCGGCTAGCAGCGGAGGAAGCCCTGAATTAGCTGGCAGTATGCTTAATGACGTCATTATTATGAACGACTACTACTTCATCAGTGATTCGGTAACAGCGAGGTTGGCGACGGTAATGACAATGATAACTTGAGATACTTGGAAGGATAGAATGATATGGTTCAAGCAGCCGACTATAGTCACGCTTTATTTTATCGATCGTTGACTGCTTTGTTCTGGTCTCGGCAGGATACCCATGTGTTACTAGTTACTAGGAGACTTTGGTCGCCATATGATACCACTTAGTCCTAGGACACCTTGAAATGTGTTTCAACAAGTCATAATATTCTTCGGTCTCTTTCACCTCCAAAAGACGAATAATGAAATGCGTCTGGGGATTGATGTCATTATTCAATTATTTTGATCTGATGTACAATCTGAGGAGGGAGCGGCCATGACTGCCAAAGGCCAAAAAAAAGTACCACGGAAAAGAGGCCGCGCGACAGGCATAAAACCAGATATTCCGAACTTGATAGCTTACAGGCTGAATGGACTGAGGGTTCTCCATCTATTAGCAAATCAGCTTTGCTTACATTCGATCCACTGGCAAAACCCACAGCATGTCGAAAAAGTGATAAGCTTTTTAGTGAACTACAGCGTGTCACTTTGTACTGTCATTGAATCATTGAGACACTATCAGCGGATGACAGGGGTTGGCATTCGTGCCGATGATTCAGTCGTTGGATCATGCAATTGATCGATGAAAGCATGAGTAAGAACGGATCATAATAGAGATAGATACAGATGAAAATATAACCTACGTGATCATCTGGACATACGATGCTGGTACATTAGATAGATACGACAATTGAAAGACCAAAGAAAAAGATGAGAGAAAGCCGTCTTTGAACGAGTCAGCTCCATAGAATGTTTCGAAGCTCGACTAAATTATCTAGTCTCCGGCAAATGTGCCAATGAACTAGTCGGGATCCGAGGGAGACTGGGACGGGGTCCGTGGTTCGACTCGCTGCACCGCGAATATCCGTCCGCTCAACGTTCCAGAAAGAAATTCAGAAAAGGGAAAATTCTGCAACGGAGTAGGGCTGGCCGACTACTCGGATCTCGCCGATTGGCTTTGGGACTATTTTAGCAGACGTGTCCCCGGGCTCTAGTAAATGAGGAGAACTTAGGAAGGAAAAAGAAGGTGAGTGGTGGATAATGATAGTCCATTGGTTAGTGGAGTTGACAACCGTTTAAGTTGAGAGTGCACCAGGCCGGGTAGATGATATTTTGTATGTCCATGTTAGAATCCCAAAGTATGTTTTCGGAGGCGGCAGTAACAACCAACCACCTCGCAATTGCCTTTCAGGACAACTATCGTGCCGAGATATCGTTAGTATGATTTTTTCTTGCCACCACGCGACACCGTGAGAGGAGTAGGCGTGTTAAAAGTTTCCGACTTACGAGAGAAAAACTCTGTCTCCGCCCAAGGAAGGGCTATCTCGCGACCCACCATCCAGCACCGGCGTCGCTGCTGGGCCACCTGGAACACGCACCCATTCGCCGAACCTTTTCCAAGTTCCCAGATTTTGCCCGCTGTCGATGGAGAAGGAATCCACGTTGAGGAGGTTTTAGTGCGTACGAGTGGCACGCACAATCCATAGCAGCCTCTTGCTAGACTCAGTGAGGTATGTAACTACTCCATTATTGTGTAGGAGATGCCGTGCCAATGTCAAGCCAACTCAATTGGAGAAGGAAAGCACAAGACACACGATAAACACGACGGGAGAGCATGGCCATGACCAACGTGCATGATTCCAATAAACTCAATAAGCTCGTGGTCCTTGTCTGGGGGAAAAGCAGACTTCGACCCAAAGGAGAATGTCTGCGCGAGGTTGCATCCGGCGGTGCTGAACCCCCATTCCCACCCCCTCATCTTGACTGTTCCTTTTACCTAAAGATTTTCAGTCTTGGAATATAATTCGATTAGATTCACTATCATCATCATTCGTTGCCTCTCTTATCAGCGGGCGAAGATGGCCAGTTGACAAGGCACCATACATAATCTCTCGGCGTGCATATGCATCCCCAGCCGTGTTGGTCGTACCTTAAAATCGCAGGTGGATGCGATTCATCTCTAGCGGATTTCGGAGAGGCGACACGCAGAACCCGCTTATAAGGAGGAGCTCGACGACTGGACGGTTCCGAGTTTTGGTGACTCAATCGAACCGTGTTCCCGGTGGAGACGGTCCTGGCGGCGAGCTTCCTTTTTCCTTCTTTTTCGCGATTTGACTTTTGTGACTTCTCTTCCGTCACTATCATACACACTGTACGTCTGACGCTCTAACCTTGAGGATATCAGCATCCTCAAATTTTGGGGCCGTTGAGGGTCTAACATGGCCTTCGGGAACAAGGTCAAATCCACGTCTGCCGAGGGGGAAAAGGGCAAGATGGCGCCTGAAGAGACTGTCCAGGTTCAGCCCACGAACCCTTCGTCCGACTTGAACGACATCGATTGTGAGAAACATGGCGCCAGTCGCGAGTCGAACCCCATGCCCGATCTCAAGCGGAAGCTGAGAAGTCGCCATCTTCAAATGATTGCCATTGGTGAGTCCTGTTGGGTGTCTTGGGGGTCTTTTCCCTTTCTGCTTCTGCCACAAGACAGGCGGCCATTTCGGAAGTGACAACCTGCTCATTCAACTCTTAGGTGGTACCATCGGCACCGGTCTGTTCATTGGTAGTGGTACTGCGGTTGCCAACGGAGGTCCTGTGGGTGCCCTCATCGCCTACATCTTCGTCGGTACGATCGTCTACTCGGTTATGACCTCTCTGGGTGAAATTGCGACCTATATTCCGATTCCTGGAGCGTTCACGGCCTACGCTGCTCGTCTGGTGGACCCCAGTCTTGGCTTCGCTATGGGGTGGATCTATTGGTTTTCCTGGGCTAGTACATTTGCACTCGAGTTAACGGCAACCGGTCTGATCATTCAATTCTGGGACGACTCCATCAATATCGCTATCTTTATCGCCATCTTTTGGGTTCTGATCACCCTATTGAACTTCCTGCCTGTCAGCTTTTACGGTGAATTGGAGTTTTGGCTTTCAAGCATCAAAGTCATTACCGTCGTTGGGTTCATGATCTTCGCCATCTGCATTGACGCCGGCGTCGGTGACGAAGGGTATCTCGGATTTCGCTATTGGGTTCACCCGGGTCCCTTTGCTCCTTATTCAGGTGTCCACCCTGACTCGACGGCAAAGTTCGTCGGTTTTTGGTCCGTCCTTATCCAGGCTGGCTTTTCGTATCAGGGAACGGAACTGGTCGGTATCGCAGCCGCTGAGACAGAAAACCCTCGCAAAACGGTGCCTGCGGCTATTCGCAAGACCTTCTATCGCATTCTGTTCTTCTTCGTCCTGACCATCTTCTTCATCGGTCTTCTGGTGCCCTACACCAACGAGAACCTCCTGACCGATGGCAACGATGCCAACTCGTCGCCTTTTGTCATTGCGGCCAGGCTTGCTGGAGTCAAGGTTCTGCCTCACATTATTAACGGAGTCCTGCTTACTGTGGTGCTCTCTGCCGCCAATTCGAACGTTTACAGTGGCAGTCGTATCTTGATTGGTTTGGCTCAAGAGGGTTTTGCCCCGCGCTGGTTCAAGAAGACTTCTAAGAAGGGTGTGCCATACTATAGCGTTGCCTTCACAGCGGCCTTCGGTCTTCTCGGTTTCATGAACGTCTCCAATGCTGGTAGCACTGTGTTCAACTGGCTCGTCAACATCGCCGGTGTCGCAGGCTTCATCACTTGGGCATCGTTGAACGGCTGCCATCTTGCTTTCATGCGCGCCTTGAAGGCTCGCGACATCTCCCGCGACACCCTTCCGTATAAAGCTATCTGGCAGCCCTACTATTCCTGGTACGGGCTGTTTTTCAACGTTCTCATCATCATCACGCAAGGTTTCACCTCCTTTATTACCAGCTTCAGCGTCACGGATTTCTTCATCGATTACATCAGTCTGATTCTCTTCGTCGTGCTCTATGTTGGACACAAGATCTACTTCCGGACATCTTTTGTCCATCCCCTTGAGGCCGATATTGATACGGGCCGCCAGGAGGTTGAGAACGAAACGTGGGAAACGGAGGCTCCCGCCACCAAGTGGCACCAGAAGCTTGCACGCTCATTCCTGGGCTGAGAGGATCACGACCCTCTGGGCATCTCAGCACAGGCCCGTGGTCAACAACACTTGTGCTTCTTCTTTTTTAATTGCCTTGTTTTTAATCCTCCCATATTCACGCCATACCTCTCTTCGGTTGACAGATAGAGAGAGAAATACCTCTTACTTCTACATTTGAACCCTTCGGTTAATACTTATGGCGCTTAGAAATTGGGTTTCACGCATATACGCATCTGCTGAGACAGCTGTTGCTTGTCGGTATATAAAAGAAAAGAGAGAAAGAGAGCGAGAAAGCGAGACGGACCTGCATGAGTTGATGATGAATGAGGGTCGAATGGGTGTCTTCCTCTTTTTACGAGGGGCTTTTGTCTATATCTTTGGGTTCATGGGTTGAGCCCCTCCTGTACAGTATACATGTTGGGATGTCAGCATTGGCATGGAGTTTGGTAAATGGTTTTTACTGTCGAACGTCTCGTTCGAACTGACTGTGGTCTAACTTTCCTGGAATCGAAAGTTTGCAAATAATCGACGTACTTTTGATCTGCAGTGTAATTGCGACTACATGTTGAATGGTTCGTAGCTTTATTTTCCATATACATGTTACTACTTTGTAGTTGTAGTACTAGCCGCCGTTGAGCAGATACTTTGAACTAGTGAATGAATGGTTAGTGGCGGTGATTCGGTCAGGGTCAAATACTGCGCAGTGCCAGTAAGTAGGACTATTGTAGGGTCCAATCTAGTAGTATTGTTAATCATACGCGAGAGCTGTCAAGTTACAAAAGAGTGTAATTCATACGTCACGAAAGTTTACGGAAATTATTTCAAAGAAAATAGAGACCAGTCGGCACTGTATCCTCGAATCTTCACATGGAACCTACACGTACACATGATGGACTAGGAGGCGAATATGAGCCAAGGCCGGATCAGAGGATCATTTTAGCTTGCGGTTGACGGAGGCATCGGTTAAGCCAAAAAGCAAGCATGTGAGAAGGTCAATGTGTCGGCTGGTTGTTGAATATCACAAGACTCGGCTCCGATCATCTGTACAACGTTAGTCCACGGTTTATACCTCCTGGCTTGTGGATATATCGACTGACATGTAACGAACTTATGTATTAAATGCAGCCCAGACGTCAATTGAGGGGCGCCGGCATCTGCGGGTTGATTCATGGGGTGTGGGGAGACTAGTATTTGAGTAAGTAATCAATAGGAGTTTAGTTAGTCGGTCCTAGGGGGTTTATTGCAGTGCTGTACAAATTATTATTAGTTTTATTACTTGTTTATTTATTTTCTATTTATTTATAGGTTCGACGATGTGAGTGTACTTTGCTTGTATTACTACTTTTCTTTATTTCTTAGAAAGGAACTCCGTACAGTACTTTGGGGGGGTGTCTGCCCGCATTTTTCTTTTTCGGGGTCCGGAGATATTATACAGCATCAAGTGCGTGCTACTGGGGGAAAGGATCGCCTGCCAGCAAGGTCGGCTACTAGTCAGTTATTGACTAGTATGATATGATTGTCTATCGCAGAACCGAGGTATGGAGTCAACGGGTGGGAAGAGACACCAATTTCGAGCAAAATGCAAACGGGGAGGATTAACCCAAAGAAGCATATGTTCCATCAAATTGAAGATAGATACTTATGCCTGGTACTGGAAATGAAACGGGGAGGCTTCCCCAACAGGGCAAGTGCCGAGGTTCTGCGGACTTGGGGGGAGGAGGGTTTGGGACGTCGCGTGGAGGGAACACGAGCGCTGGCCAGTCAGCGGCCGCCATTTGCGTGCATTCCGTCTCGGAGACCAACCAAAAAGTAAGGGAAGGAAGGTTCAACTGGATCCCTCCCTTTCCCAACTTGGCACTTCATGCCTCAGGTAGGCAAGTTGCCCTGTTACTACCACCAGCAACTACGAAGTACTAGTAGTGCTCCAAGTGCTCATTCTTCTCTCTTGTCTCGTTGCTGTCCTTGTCCGGCAGTGCCTTTATAGTCTCTCCTCTCAAATTTTGGGATTGATCTCCTCTTCCACCGTCGCCCCTCACCCTCACCGTCGCCTCCGGTCTCTTGTTTCCCTCCTCTTCCGTACTTATCCTGATCCTACCAAACTACTCTCGCCACCTCCAGCCGTCGTTCCTAGACAACTCTTCCTGGGAGTTGGGTTCGCTGTCATTGTTCTCTTTTACTAATAGATTTGTAAGTTGATCTTTGTTATCTGTCTCAATCACACTTGCCTTTGTGTTTGTCATACTAATCTTCTCGTCTTCATCAGCTGTAAATTACACCTGTCGCTATGCTATTCTCTCAACCACCTCTCCATGTTACTCGCGCAGATGAGTTGCGACAAAGCCCTCCCAAGGGCACTCCCTACTCGGTTGCCTTGCCTGGGACAGAGAAGCCGGGTCGGAGTAAGGTTTATCGTGCCTGGAATGCGACTGAGGGCGTCCTGAAGTCGCTGGATCCTCAAGTATGCTTGCCTTCCCATGACTTCCGGCGATCAGCAATCGTACCACAATATGCCTTTCCCTGCTGGATATGGGTCTGACTATCTTCACAAATCAATTCTAGATTCTTACTGCACACGATATCTTCGAGTCCACTGCAAACCGATTGCCGAAGAACCACTGCCTAGGTTGGCGTCCGTACAATCCCACGACCAAGACCTACGGTCCATATCAATGGTTGGATTATCAGACGGTACAAAAGCGACGGGCTGCGTTCGGCGCAGGTCTAGTGGAACTACATCACAAGCACGAGTGCAGCCGTCCTGGCCAGTATGGTATTGGTCTATGGTGTCAGAACCGCCCCGAGTGGCAGATAACCGGTATGCGATCTTGTTACTTCTAGCGTGCGCAACACTAATTCTGGTCGGTTTAGACTTGGCGTGCATGTCGCAAAGCCTGTATTCGGTCTCCATCTACGATGTCCTTGCCCCAGATGCGACAGAATATATCATCAACCACGCGGAGTTGGCCTGCGTTGTGACCTCGCTGCCGCACATTCCGACCCTGCTCAGGCTGAAGCCCCAATTGCCTAACCTCAAGATCATTGTCAGCTTGGACCCCCTGGACGGCGGTGAAGAGGCTGGTCACTCGAAGCGTGCTTTGCTTGAGTCAATGGCTGCCGGGCAAGATGTCTCCATCTACACCATAGGCCAGGTTGAAGAGTTGGGTGCTTCGGTTGACCGTCCCTGCAAACCTCCAGCCCCCTCTGACACCATTACCATCAACTATACGTCTGGTACTACCGGCCCTCCGAAGGGTGTAGTCCTCGCACATGAGAATGCCGTCGCATCCGCTTCAGGTGCGCTCATTAACAGCATACAAAAAGCAGGCGACACCATTATATCGTATCTGCCGTTGGCTCACATCTATGCTCGGATGTCTGAGCATGCGGCCTTTTGGGCAGGAGCCCGGATTGGGTACTTCCACGGAAACATCTTAGAGCTCGTTGACGATCTCAAGATGCTCAAGCCAACCGGATTCATATCTGTTCCGCGCCTCTACACACGATTTGGAAATGCCATCCGCGCCTCGACTGTTGAGGCTCCTGGCTTTAGAGGTGCAGTGTCGAGGCACATCGTGGCCACAAAGACTGCAAACTTAAAGAACCCTGACCTCAGCAAAGCCACAGGGAAGCATGCCTTGTATGATCGGATCTGGGCGAAGAAGGTCGCAGCTGCCATCGGGTTGGACCGTTCTAGAATGCTGGCTTCCGGATCGGCGCCTCTGGACCCTTCACTCCACCAATTCCTCCGAGTTGCTCTTGGTGTCGATGTTGTTCAGGGCTATGGTTTGACTGAGACTTATGCCATGGCATGTGTACAGTCCCTCGCGGACTTGACCGCCGGCCACTGTGGTGGGCTGATTCCTTCTACCGAGGCTTGCTTGGTGTCTCTACCGGATATGGAGTATTCCGTTGATGACAAGCCGTATCCTCGGGGAGAACTCATGTTGCGCGGTGCGAACGTTTTCCGCGAGTATTTCAAGGACCCTGAGGAAACAGCCAAAGCAGTGACCGAGGATGGATGGTTCCGGACCGGTGATGTCTGCAAGATTGATGAGATGGGCCGTATCGTCATCATTGACCGCCGGAAGAATGTTCTGAAGCTGGCACAGGGAGAGTATATCTCTCCGGAACGGCTCGAGGGTGTCTATATGTCGGAAATGGGCTATTTGGCCCAGGGCTATGTCCATGGTGATAGTGTCCAGACATTCCTGGTGGCTATCTTTGGCGTCCAGCCCGATACCTTCGCTGTATTTGCCAGCAAGGTGCTTGGCCGCACCATTGAGGCTACAGACATCGAGGGCATCAAATCGGTTCTTAACGACACCAAGATCCGTAAAGCTGTATTGAGAGACCTCAGTCGGATTGCCAAGAAGCACAAGCTTGCAGGATATGAGAGAATCAAGAACTGCGCACTGATGATTGACCCGTTCACCATCGAGAACAACCTGCTTACGCCGACGTATGTAATCACCTCTCCACGTTCCACTTATGGTTATATGTACTAATCCGCAATCCTATCAATTAGGCTGAAGCTGAAGCGTCCGCCCACGACAAAGAAGTATCGTCAGGTCTTGGACGATCTCTATGCCGAGGCATTGGCTGAAGAGTCTGCCCCCAAGGCTAAGCTATGAGGGATGGCGCTTTGTTCGCCCATGTGCTTTTGTTTTACCACCGGCATTGTGACATCATCTGTTGTGGGAACCCCTCCAGACCACATTGTACATATAACCGACTGCCTCTTGTTTCATGCATATGCTGTCCATATTGTTTTCATTTGAGGGGCAGGTCCTCGGGGTTGTTCAGGGCGAGAACAGAAGCCACACGCCCAGCCTCGGCCGTGGTTAGGAGTACATATTATATACTATTATTTTTAACATGGTTCGCGGCATATAGACACTTTGGCTGGCTGGAATAAGCCAGATATATAGTAGATAGCGGCGTAAAGCGTAATTGCTACCCAAAGCTTCAAAGTTATAGCATGAAACGTTAAGATATTAATCCATACATTAGCGAAGTGCATGAATACTCTCAGCTCTAATCTGTACAGAATGACCAAGAATTACGATTAGTTGATGTTGTAAGCTGCAGTAAAGGTGGCGCTGTGACTTCACCGTTAGCCGGCCGGCGCTTGGCACTGGCGCTGCCGTTGAGATCATCCATCCGGATAGCTTCACCTCCACCGTCCACCAACAACCTCCGCATTTCTCTGCGGACACTCCCACCATTCAAAATCCATACTGCATTGACCAGCTGCATTTCTCAGAATAGAATTTGTTGCCCATCATGCATCTGTCTCTTTTCTCCCTCTTCTCCCTGCTCTGTGCCTCAACACTAGCAACCGCAGCATCCGCCGCCCGTCATCTCACCATCACCATCCCTCCCTCGACCATCCTCCCTAACCCAAACGTCCTCCCAGCCAATACCCACGCGACTCTTACGACCTTCACAAAGAACACAAATGACAACCACCACTTCACTGCACCCCTCTCCCGCTCCGCAACCTTCGACTTCCACCACCTCCCCGCCTCCTCGAAGCCCGAATCCTACCTCCTCGACATCCGCTCCCCGGAGTATGTGTTCGCTCCCCTTCGCGTCGACGTCGCTGCCGATGGCTCTGTCTTGGGTATCTGGGAGACCTTTCGCGGGAACCCGTGGGATAATCGCGGCGCAGAGAAGTTCGTCTTCGATGCGAGTGCTCCCCGCGGTGGTAACAGTGGAGCTGAAGAAGCTGTGATGGTTGAGGCGAAGGTTCTGGCCCGGAGAGGGTTTTATGAGGAGAGGTCGAAGTGTATGTTTTCTCCCCCCAGACTTTCCTCTTAGGTCTTGATGTTAGCTATGATGAACGCGGAGCTTGCGTGCGCAATGGTGTCTGTCCATTGATTGATTTACTTGATAGCCATTGAGCGCTCGCGCGTGGCCATCGGACCTTGCTTTTTATCTCTACGGAATTCGGATTGCTGACTGTGGTTGATATCATCGACTTAGTCTCTCCCCTGGCTTTATTCAAGAACCCCATGATCCTGATGGCTTTGGTGGCTCTTGGTTTCACCTTTGGAATGCCCAAGTTGATGGAGAACAGTAAGTGCTGTCCCGAGTCACTAGACTCCACGTCTCTTGTCTTCCCTCTCTCTCTCTCGCTACATCTTGTCTTGTGAATAGCTTCTTGCTGACATGCACTCTTATCAGTGGACCCCGAAATGCGCGCCGAATTCGAGAAACAGTCTCGCTCTTCTCCCATCGGAGGCGCAACCAGAAGTGCTATGGCTGGCGGCGGGGCTCCCGGGAACTTCGACCTGGCTGGCTGGATGGCCGGTGCTACTCCTAGACCCGGTGCGTCTGGCGCGGAAGCTGCGGCTGCGATTGAGGGAGCGGCTGCTACGACGGGCCGGGAGGGCGGTGGTGCGTCGCGGAGAAGGGGTTGAAGCGTTGTATGATTACAGTATCGTATGGGGGGTTTAGAGGATGGTATGGTATGTGTGTATATGGATCGCGGTGAGCGCTCTATGGATAGATATTGATGTGTCCATGTATTATAAGCTCCTCGATGGCCCTGTTCCCGAAAGACTCGGAGATGAGAATAGAGTCAAACCTAATGATCTGATTATCGATCAGCTACAGAACGATAGCTCCTTTCATGCATCTTCATAACACATTAGGCTATGGGAAAGTAATACTATCTACATAGAAGACGACGACAATCCGAAAGTAAAGCAAGCAAGCAAGCCAGCTAGAAGCAACAGAATAAACCCCAACAAAGAACAAGAGTAGTCAACAACTGCTAACCTCCAAATGCTCATAACTCATCAATCGCCCCCTTCCAGCGTAGCTCATCACTTACGACAACACCCCTAGAAATCACCCCCAAAGTCATCACCACCGAAATCCCCTCCATCAAAATCACCACCACCACCAAAATCACCCGGAGGCGGACCATCAAAGTCATGTCCAAGATCCTCAACAGCATCCGCCAACAAAAACCCACCTAGCAGACCACCCCCCACACCTAACGCCGCAGCCCCCGCAGTTCCCATCCCATTGTGTCGCCGCTGCGGCGCCTGCTGCTGTGCATAATAGCCACCCTGTGCCGGATACGAAGGATAACCATACCCGGCCTGCTGTGGTGGAGGATAGCCACCGTATCCAGCCTGAGGATACCCATAGGCCGCTTGCTGCGGTGGTCGACTGTAACCCACACCACCACCACTGCTGCTACCGCCAGAGTGTCTCCCCATTAACTTGCCCAAGAAACCCCTGCTCCGCTCCTGTTTCGGCGCAGGTGACGTTGAAGGTCCCTGGGGGGACTGCACGCGGGAGGAGGAGTTCTCGGCATAGTAATCGGACGCAGAGCCAGATTGTGCCTGTGCTGGTGGTATCGGACTTCTGCGACGAGCTTGGGCTTCTTCTTCAGCTTGTAGCTGAGCTGCTAAGCGAGCATCGCTCTCTAATGTAGAATCCGGCTGGCTGTTGTACGGATTTCTTGAGCCTAGAGGTTTCTTGTCGCCGCCGGCGGCCGCTGAATTAGGTCGATCACCAGGGCCAGAGGCGTCGTATGATGGTGGTAGCCCGTTGGGTGGTCTCTGCGAGTCTTCTTCCATGGGACGTTCCCATTGTGATCTGCCGGTGCGTAGATCTACATAGAACCTTTGGCACTGGGCGTTAGTTTCTTTCGGCTAACAGGATGACTATGTATCCGCGACTGAGGAATGATGGTGGAGATGTGGGATAAGGTCTTACCATTGCTTATATCGGTCGTCGAACTGGGCTTTCCATCCTTCAGGTACTGAAGGTGGTGGGGGCCCGGAGGGAGGAGCAAATGACATCTGTTGTGGTGTGATGATCAGATATGCGAAGATGGGGGCCGGAAATGGATCGACTAAGGCTTAAGCACCGCCAAGACAGTTGAAGTAGCAAGTTTATAATGGCCAAAAGAAAACTGGGATTCGAGAGAGAGATATATGTAGTACCGACTACAATCTAAGGTACGGATATCGAAATAAAGCCCACCCAGCAATGCCCCGTGGCGCTGCTCAGCCACGTGATGTAATTGGCCGGCGCACCGTTGACATCATTTCATCATGGAGGAATGACTTTCCTGCCGCAGGAGTTGGGTAGGGGGCAGTGATAGGACCAGCGCTCTCCCAACCGACCTCTCCAGGCTCCAGACTAAAGACCGTCAACATCTCGGATGTTAGCATCGATGGCACTGCTGGGCGGCCACCAGAAGTCTTCCTCGAGTTCCTCTTCTACCTCCTGTAAGGCCGGTTGAAATTCGGCAAAATGGATAGCATTCGAGCCGGAACTCCATTCCATGTTCCCTCTTGAATCAGTGACCTCAATATTCGGTGGCATAAAACCTGGTGGTGATACAACATGATGCAACCTGCGCTTGTATTTATCGGGTACATCGTTAACGGGATCGGCGGCATCTGTCCTGGCATATGCAAGAGGCTCTGTAAGCCCATCTCGTGTTCTCTTGTTCTGATTGCGTCTGCGATTCCGAATATTTGCGAGCTTAATTTGCGCTTTAACATCCTGCTGAGACGCTGTATCTAGCCCGATCCTGCAATCTGGGGGCGGACCATCGAGTTGCCGTAGCTGCACCTCTTCTTTCAGTCGGGTTTGTGCAATCTCATGCTCAGGGGTGTATTCCGGACGAGCCCAGGCTGCAAAGGGACCATCATAATATGGTCCTTGTCCAACCCCGTATGTTGGGTGCCGGATGAGCTTCCCTGACTCCAGAAGTTCTGCGCCCGCCTTAATCCCTGATTCAGGATTAGATACATGCCCATCAGGACACATCTGCAGTTGAGGTTGTAATGAAGGCATGAATTCCATCGAAAGGCCCTCGTTGCTTGTAAATGGGCCGGGGGATAGAAGATGGACACCCCCAGCAGCATCGCCGACCAGCAGATTGGACTTATCTTCGGAAAAGGCACCGCACATGATTTCCTCGTCAAATCTGGCCGTATCATGAACGAGCACATCTTCCGGGGCTCTAAGGATATCCCATCTCTTCAACACGCCGTCAGAAGACCCAGTGTAGAATTCGTCAATCCTATCACCCCATAGAGACAAACGAACGCCAACATCAGCTTGCTCCCTGCTGATTGTTTCATCGATCTGATTCAAAGGCTCTCCGTGTTGGAGCTTGTGAAGAACTCGGTCTGGGCGACGATGATCCCAAACATAGGTAATTCCATCAGTGCAACTGGCTGTCACGTAACTTGGGTTCAGAGGGCAAATATGGGCGTCGTTGATATCTAGCGCCGGACACTCGAACTCCATGGTGCAGACTTTTGATGATAAGGGCTGATACATTCGGACTAAGGATCTGGTATCCTTGTAGGCCTTGTTGACAGGGCCATGACCTATCGATGTTGCTGCTGCAAAGATTGGCAAGGTGGGATGCCATTTAATGTCAAACATGTTCTGAGAGTTTGGGGAAAATTGCATAGGTAATATTGATGCCTCGCCTATTCGCCACCCTGCCAACAGACCTGTCTGCAGTGTACCGTCACCCTTTTCGCACATCCCGGCAAGCAGAATGTTTCCGGTTTCCTTAATGGTCCCCCATGCTAAAGAAGTAGGTACCAGTTCTCTGTCCTTTCTGGATCGCGCCCTAGGCAGCTCTAAGAGAGTGTGGGTTGACTCTGCTAATGACCAAAGTCCTATTGAACGCGTGCCTGTTGCCAGCAAATTCCGCTCATAAAAGGAGCGAGCCATAACTTCCACCTTAGAGTCATGCTGAAGCGTCTTGCGGCATGATATATCTCGACCGAAAGCATTCCATATCTTCACTGTATTATCGTAGCTAGCAGTAAAGAGTGCATCTTCCCACCACTCGATGGAAGTAACGCTCATCCAGAGACGAGGATCATGAAGAGTCCGGCTTGCTGCGCTCCTCCCTGGGGGCCGAAGAACATAGTGGTCTGGTAATTCCATCAACTCATTGTTGACAATATCACCAACAACGAGATTATTATTTCGGTTATATTCCATATTATGCTCGTCGCATTGTGCTGTCGCGCCGGCAGCAAATTTTGTGCCATCAGGTGCCCAAGCCAGGACAATCACATCATTCGAGGCATCTTTCCATGTTTTCGCAAGCTTAAAACATTTGTTGGCATTTGACTGAAGCTGTCCTTGTACACGAAGCCCTAGCTCACGGCGCTGCAAGAGTTTGTTCAACGACCCGCTTTTCTCTGCGCATTGAGACCCCGGTGCAGTAGCCTCTATGACACAGGGGTTAGATGGAAGGCAGCCCCTTTTTGCATCGGCAATAAAGGCGTCTATCTCAGTAGGTCCACGTCGGCTGAGCACCAGAGCGGAGGGTAGAACCCCGGACAACTCCCAGAGCTGATTCCCAGAGAAAAGCAAAGGACTATCTTGAGACGCGTCCTGGATTGACCCCAAAATCTTCCCTACCAGGCGTCTGGCTTGCCGTTTTCGTTTGTCCTTTGAGTTAGGTGCCATCGCTTCTAGAAGCCATTTGTGACTATCATCGATTCCATCGATTCCCTCGGTAGAGATGAGCTGCGCAAGCTCACATACCCACCTAATCTTCTTCGAGGCCCTCTGAGAGATATCACAAATATGAGCAGCCTGGATGATCTGATCCGAAAGCGCGGTGTCCATCTTCTGGTGTCGCTGAAAGCCGCAAAAGAAAAACAAGTCCATGATAGCTGCCATTTCGCTTCTGTCAAAGTCAATATGGAGAATCTCATCCGCCAGCGGCGGCCTGCTCTGATACTTCAAGGCATACTCTCCAGGGCTACGCAATGATGAATAGCAAGCACGACCCGATAATCTCAAATCATCTAGACTTTTCAACGGCGACTTAATAATCTGAACATGAGGTGAAGAATAGATGACACGGGCCTGTTCAGTTCTATCACGAATACATGACGAAGTATTCGATTCAGGTGCAATGCTAGAAAACCTGGGTTGTCGGGATGTGGTAGGAGATGGCCTCGCAGGGCTTTCGCTGACATCTTCATCGGAGCCAAAACCCAAATAGTTGGTCTTGTCGTAATAGTTGTTCGGCCCAGACCTTGCACGCCGAGAGCGTCGGTTACTCGACATCTCACGCCCATATCCCGGTGACGATGCAGTATTCGGCCTATCCTGTTCGGAAAAGTACAAGGGGTCCGGTGTCTGCGGTGTGCTGGATGTGACGCGGTTCTCGCCAGTGATTGCTGGTGATGATCTAGCTTCAGCGCGGGCCTTAGGCGTCTTAGGCCGCCTACCGCGCTTCTTGACGCTTTCCCGAATGTCTTCCCCGGTGCTAGAGCATTCTCTTGGGGCAGGATTTTGATCACCGCAACTTGCCGCCGGGGACCCTCGTGTCTTGTGGGAGGAGTTTCTTATGAACTGTGAAAGGAGGAACTGAGCTTCCTCAATAACAGCAAGTTCTTCGGATTCCTCTGGCGTGTGTATACGGGACATTGTGCGCGGATAACTTGTCTCCCACTAGGTATCCCAAACTAAGATAAATGAGCTTGCCGGCGCATGTCGACCAATAGCTCAGTGAATGAGTGCCAGCGCTGGAGGTGAATCAGACTGGGAGATGGTTTCGAAGGGGACCTGCTGTAGCGCTATTATAAAAGCTCAAGTCAGCGCCGGTTGATGGCTTTAATTTGACTCGAAATGGGTTTTGGACAGCCTGGCGGGGAACAAACACTATATGAGGGGAAGGATTAGAACTCTACCCAGTATGGATACATAAGTCCAGCAAGAGTTTCGCACAGCTTCGAATAGTCATCACTCATCCAGACCTCACTTGGGCCTCGCCTGAGCCACAATGTTGAGGGCAGCAGCAGAACAATACTATAGATCCTGCGCGTCGACTGCGACGCGCGAACGCGCTGGATAAAGTGCTCTATATTCTTGTAAAAGGCAGGCGGTCGGGTCTCACGGATCAGGCGCACTAGGGCCAATCATCTAATCGAGCCGCGGCTCCTTATCGAGTGTAGCTTCATAGTACCAGGCTAGTAGAAGGCTCAAAGTAGTAGGCTATCTCATTTTCCTCTACCAGTTTTACTCTTTAGCGCCTTTACAGGGTTGACGGAACTTTTCCCTGAAAGAGGTGCCTACGGCCACTAAGGTGTAATGCCATGATTACCTATACTTCATCACCAATTCAATCCGTTGATGCGATAGCAAAAAGGCTTAGTACTGCATGAATGCAAGCCTAGACATATCGATTTCTAGGATCGTCCAAGAAAACAGTCATCGTGCCGAAGCAAGTAAGAGAACATATATGTACAGAATATATTCAGATCAATGACAGAAATACAGGGGGCCAAGGTACACGATGAGGGGATCAGTCAGTAGGACTTTCTGGGCCCAAGTTAAATTTATAATTTGGCAAGGGTGCTTTAAGGAGTTTCTTCCAGATCACATGTTTCACTTGGAAATTGCCCGGTTCCTCTTCCGAAGAGAGACCATAAGGTCATAAAGGACATCCTTGAACCCAAACAAGAAAGCTGCAGTAATGGCGCTCTGTGTGACCTTTGGCCCAATGCCTGTCATTATTCATTAGCATAAGTTTGCATGGCTCCCCCATTATCAGTACTATACCTCTGTAAAGGCCCACAAAGCCCTCTTCCTTGACGATTCTCTTCAGGCTCCCGTTCAGACTCTCCTTAGGGCCATCTTTACTAGCGACATGCATGCGGCTCTTCACTGTAATATAGGGATAGGTGATCGAAGTTGCCAGTATCTTACCAAGCGCCCCAAGATAGAACGCATCCTTTGGCGTCATACGCCTACGACGCTCCACAATATTCTTCAGCTGTTCAAAAATTGTGTACTGTAGAATCGGGTTAATAACCAGAATGAGGGCTGGCAGAACACCAGCAAAGAGAGCCTTGGGCCCCTCTTGCCGGAGCAAGTCCATCAATGTACTAATTGTAGACGCCCGCGACTTCTTGGGGGGAGTCCCTGGCAATGTTTCTTGCTCCGACTCGGACTTGCGGGCTGTCATTCTAGTGTTTACAACCCATATTGGGTTGGTGATCAGGACCGTCGCACTCCCGGCGATAGCGCCCGCGATCATTGACTCCGACGTCGTGAGCTTCTTTGAGGACCGCCCCGCCCGCGCAGCCGCCTTTTCGAAAGCCGAACGCGTCCATTCGTACCAATAGTAGTAGACGAAGTTCGTGACACTGATGCCAAAGAGCGCAGATTCAAGGCCGGAATAGAGCCCAGAAACCCCCTCTCGTTGGATGATGCGGCGTATTGCGTCGTACGTCGTGGAATGGGCACGCTTGGACTCGACTTGCGCTCTCGTGGAGAGGGTTATCAGGGGATAACTACAACACATGGGATGTCAACGATGATTTCATTAACGGGAGGTGTTGCCGCACGTCAAGAGCATTGACAGTATACCGCCTCCAGCGCCCGCCAATGCATGTGCCATGTTGTCACTTTGCTGGGTCGCAGCGGACACCGCGACGGCCTTCTTTTGCCCTTCAATGTTAGACTGAGACATGATTGATAACGCGGTGATCCTCGTTGTCTATCGGAATAACAGGTGCGTCAAGAAAGCTGATCGATATTATACTATGATGGTGCACGCAAATCGGGTATCGGTACCTCGGATCCTTATAGATGGGTTACGGATTGCTTTGACAAGTGAGTGTGAAAAAGACGGCAGCTGGAGAACTAGCAGTATTTCAATAACTCTGCCCGAGAAGGTCGCAAGGAATGACTGCAAGAAAGGAGGAAAGGGGTAGATATGTAGGCCTTGGGACGAATGGGGTAGGGACTATGTCGATGTCGGGTGCGAGAAAGACTCGGCTCTGGATTGGGGGTGATGGTTTACATGACGTTTGCCGAAGCCTGTGCCTCGGCTGATGGGTGACCCTCATCAGCTGATCGGATCAACGCTCATGCCATATGAAATTTGGCTAACTTCCTGAGGATACTCCATACTCCTGTATGGTTATTGGGGAGGAAAACACAATGAGGAACTAAGGAGGTGACATTTGCCGGTAAATGGCAGATCCACTTCACGTGTTTCATCTACCGTTGTAATATCCATCCTCCACGTTTCTCTCTTGACTCTTCGATACAACAGGTAATTTGGAACTAGAGTTCGTTGCTTTCCTTCTAAGCGGTTCGTGTCAGTATCTACCATTTGAACAATAATTACATGTAGGTTCAGAGCCTGGTCACAGTGAAGAGTGTGGGAGGGACTACCTAGGCATGATAGCATCAAGAACTGCTAGGAAGGGTATGGATGGATGGCATGTGACATTCCTGCACAGAGCACGTATGGATTGTGAAAACCTCGCACATAAAATATAGCCTAGTCGCGACAAACGAACCTTGTTCACTTATCAGACCCGAAATATAGTTGCTATTTGCGAAAGAGCAAAAGGCTAACAATGACTCTACATATCCTACAAACTATATATCACCATATCGTTAGAGTCCGAAAATGAAGGCGGGAAAGCGAGTATGTTCTTATATTGATTTGCCACGAACCATGGTCACTTAAGTATCATTAACTTCTGCATTAATTGACCCAGACATAATCACGCAACGGATCCAACTAACTAAGAAAAACTCAACGGATCAGATAGAAATGCCTCGAGTTAGAGAAAGGCCACGAGCAAGACAATAGCGACGGGAAAGATAGGGAAGGGGAAGATAGATGACCGAGAGGAGAAAAGGGAAAACCTGAGGACACAGAAAATTATCCATAGTGCACCATGTATAAAGACGAAACGAAAGCCTTCTAAAGCATGAAAAAGAAAACTACTCCCGGTGACCATTGCCAGCGCAGAACATTTAAGATAATGCTAGCATTCGAGGAAGACTGCCCTGCAGCAGGGTGCAGCAGGTAGGTTCCTCGTGGCTCCTCTTCTTTAATCACCAAATTTTCACCCCGTCTCAAGATGGCGTAATGCAACGCGGGATCAGGATCATCAATAGTCTAGCAGCAGCCGCCCGCGGAGCCGGATTGAACGCCCTGGCCTTGGCCAACCTGCACAGTTGGCTTGTTGTTGACAGTCGCGGTGCCCATGCGTTCCTTGATCTGTCTCGCCATTGTCAGGAAAGCCTGCTCTACATTCGAAGCGTTCTTCGCCGAGGTCTCCAAGAACGGGATTCCAAGGCTGTCGGCGAATTCCTAAACCAACACATTGTGTCAATCACCCACTCTGCCAGAACATGAAGATTTCCCACACAAAAACATGGCCACATACCTTAGCCACTGTGTATTCAACGACCTTCTTGTCTTCCATATCGCTCTTGTTTCCGACGAGGAGCTTATTGACGCCTTCAGTGGCGTAGCGATCAATCTCTTGAAGCCACTGCTTCACATTGTTGAAAGAGTCCATGTCGGTAACATCGTAGACGACACAGATTCCATGAGCACCACGGTAGTAAGAAGAAGTGATTGTCCGGAAACGTTCCTGGCCCGCAGTATCCCACTAGAGCGCCCGTTAGTAAAGCCGGGTGACCGATTGTTGTGAATGGGGCTGCCTTACGATCTGGAGTTTCACCGTCTTGCCATCCAGCTCGATGGTACGAATTTTCTGCATTCAAAAACGTTAAATGAGATTCTAGGACGCAGCCCACTGCTAGCAGCTATGATGAGAAATGAAAGGCCAGATACGTACGAAGTCAACTCCGATGGTGGAGATGTAGCTCTCCGTGTAGGTATCGTCGGCAAAACGGAGGAGCAAGCACGACTTTCCGACACCAGAGTCTCCGATGAGGAGCAGCTTGAAGAGATAATCGTATCTAGCCAAACTATTAGCATATCGATCGATCGATACGCACGCAGAGGGCCGCGCTGAGCCAAATAAGGCGTGGGGGGAACGGAGGATCGTGGGGGCTCTAAAAGGGGTTCAAATCAGCACGGGGAACCAGAAGATAAAGAAGATATGGATGAAAAGAGGTAGTGCCATCATGACAAGGGGGGCATCGCCAGAACTGATGAGTTGTAGGCCAAATATAGACGATCAAGGGCACTTACCACTCGGGATTCATGATGGGGCACTTGGACGGTACGTCAGCGTATGCGAAATCTAGAGAGTTATTTGATGGAAAGGTGGAGAGCTGAAGTTGCAGAACAAAAGTATTAGGCGTGGCAACAAGCCGATGTAGTAAACGATACTTGAGTGTCTACTTAATGAGATGACCGAGCGGTCTCTTGAAATGGCGGTTGCGTTGCTGACTGCAGGAGAGCAGGCGAGCCCAACGTGCAGGTTCCATTACTGGCGCTAGTCCGTCTCCTGCCTAGTGTGGACCTCCTGGGTGGGAATGACCGTTTCACGCTCGCCCGCCCCAGACCCATGACCCAAGCCAGGCTAGTGCGCCAATCAAGAGACACTAACAACCACATGCAACTGAACAGATTCTAGGGACAGGCCTATCTAGGAGATGGTACTTAGTCCGACTTGAGTTGCACAATGTGCACTCCGTTTTTAACAGGCTTAGAGGGCTCGGTGCCACCCATTTTCTTCTGGTGACATACCTGTGGTCCTCCCAATAGAACAATGCAAAAAGGTATTCACGTCTGCTAGCTCTATATATACGTACTACTAAGTGCCGGCCCCTCCCTCTCTCGTCACATGTGCAAGTCAGGGAGACATCGAAAATAACATAATGCTCCACTTTTTACTTCCCAAGACGAAAGACAGTCCATCACGCATCAAGACAGGTAGAACTCAGAAGTTCGGGTTCTACAAAGCTCTGATACTCAGATGATTCACAGAATGGCAGGTGTCTTAAATCACAAGGCATCATATTCACCTATTGGTACAAACAGATTATCAAAACCATTTACCTTCGCCCCGAGGGGATCAGGCGTAGCCATGGGCCTGAAGCCATTCCAAGACCTGCTTCTCATCTCTTTCCTTGTAGCGTGCATTCGTCCGGATGCTATCAGCAACAATTACCAGGGCGCGATCGTATGCACCGGTGTCCTTCTCCCGGAAAAACGAAGCAATATCGGCTGCAATATCGTGATCTGCGAATTTGGACAGTCCCATGCGCACAAACCGCTCGAAAACGACATTGTTCGCCGACAAACGAGTTTCAACTGCCGCCCAGTTCTCTTTCATATAATCCCATAGAAGGTGGCGAGTCAAGGGATTCGTAGCCATTGAAGTCGCGCCATTATGAACATCTTGGATTGCGACCTTGTCTGAGAAGACAAAGTCCATATAATCCTTTACCAGCTCAGCATCTTTAGTACGCCCAAGGGCTCCTAGGCAAATCTCCTTGCCGTCAACGGAGTCGGTCTTGAGATACTCTTGCTTTACGGCGTTGTATTCTTCACAACCGCCCTCCGAAATTACGATACTAAAGATCACTGAGCGTAGGTTGGTATGCACAGCGTTCTTGTCGTTGCCTGTTTTCCAAAGCTCGAATCGTCGTTTGGCCTCGGGTATTATGCTAGCAAAAAGTTAGACCTTGAATAAAAGCGTAGAACGTCTCCTGGTAGACATACTCTTTGTGGCCCGCACGGCCAGCCATCCCAATTAGAAGCTTACGAAGCTGGACAGTGAGGTAGTCATCCTCCGAGCTAAATTCCCAACCGATTTCATTAGCGGCAGGGGATGAGAGCTCGAGGGCAAACTTCTTGAGTCCCGCTGCTACCGACTCATTTAGGGCGAACACAGAGCGTAAGTTCGCAACGGTGGAAGAGATTTGGGACCAGACCCTATGGAAGTCGTTAAGAACCAAGCATGAGGCATAGGGATTGTCGAATCTTGGGAATGGTAAAGGATGTCATAGTTAGACACTCACAGATAATTCTTTTCGCCCTTAAATCCCTCTAAGAGAGCCAACAGAGCAGCAGTTGATCCGTCCCCGGAAACAGCCAGGGCAGCGGCATCGCCAATCAATCCGATCTTATCCTCGGTGCTCAGCAGTTCCAGAGATTGAGCGAGTTTCGCCAGCCGATCGGCAGGGTAATTGGTTCGGTAAAAGCCGGACAGGTCTTTGTTCAGCTTGTAATAGGAATCTTGTCCGAGTTCCCCGATTGTAGCTTCCTTGGAAACGAGAGCACCGGGCTTTACGTCGGCCATCTTAGGTCCTGATTTTACACCAAGGGGAATCCACCAAGCCGTCTCATCTTCCTCGGGCTTAACATCACCCGTCGACAAGAAGCGGTTCTGACGAACATTGATCTGACCGGCTTGCTCGGTGACGGTGACAACAGGAAAGCCAATCTTGCGAATCCATGGATCCTTCATGATACAGTCAGAACAGTAATCACTGTTATAGAAGAAAGGCAGCTCACCATAAAGCTAGTAACATCCTGATTGGACGCTTCGCTGAGAGCGCTCCAAAGATCATTAGTGGTAGCATTACCTGAATTTGTCAGCAATTAGCAACCCCGATCCCCTATAGATCTTCGATGTGTACTTGCCATATGCATGGGCTTTGAGATAAGTTGCTACACCTCGCAAAAATGTTTCCCGTCCAAGATGGTCGCTTAGCATCCGAATGACCGAGCTTCCCTTGAGGTAGCTGATGTGATCAAAAATTTGATCTACTTCAAGAGCGTTCCTCACAGGCACCTCAATCGGGTGGGAAGCTCTTAATGAATCGAGTTGGAATGCTTGTTGGACACTCTCAGCCTATGCAAAAGTTAATGATCTGCCACACAAGGCTGTATTTACCTCGAGAATTGCGTACAACAAACTGAGACCATATATTCCACTCTGTTCGCGAGAAATTTGTCAGCTGCATTTGGTCTGTAGGCGCCCGGGTCTATTGAATACCTGGATAGAAATGATCCACAGCAAGCCAGCCAACCCATGTTGCAAAGCCTTCATTGAGCCACAATTCGTTCCACCAGTCCATCGTTACGAGGTTTCCAAACCATTGGTGCGCCAATTCTAGGAGTACCACTCGTTAAGAGAGAACAATGCTGCTCAAATTGCAAGGGAAGACAAACCGTGCGCGACGACATATGCAATGCGATTCTTGTACCTGGTGTCTGACTTGCCCTCGTCGAAAAGTACAGCAGTCGTTCGGTAGGTAACAAGTCCCCAGTTCTCCATGGCGCCCATAGCCTGGAGAATTTGTCGTTAGTGGTTTCTATTCGTGAGAAACAGGATCAATTTCCGTACAAACTCGTGGACAGCAAGGAGATCCGCCTTAGGCAACGGATACTCGATCTCAAAGATCTCAGAGAAGTAATCGACCGTACGATGGGCACACTCCAAAGCAAAGCGAGCCTGCTCCTTGAGGCCCTTGGTCGTATACACGCGAACGGGTATGCTCTTGCCTTGATATTTGCGCTGAGTCATAGCCTCAACATATTCAAAATCACCGACTGCCCATGCCAGAAGCTGAATAGAAGATGTCAAGAGTTAGTGTGGAGGATTATAGTCAAGTATCGGTGCAAACTCACGTAAGTACTCATGACCGGTGTAGTTTCGAAAGAGACCATCTTGAGTTCTGGCCTACTGCCGCTCCTCTCGGACTTGATAGGCATGTTGCTAAGGGCCGTTTGTCCCCGGGGAATCTCAATCTCAAAGTCGAATGTGGCCTTCAGATTCGGCTCATCGAAGCAAGGGAATGCCCTACGAGCATCACAAGATTCGAATTGGGTACTGAGCATGTAATAGAAATCTCCCTCCTTGGGTGTATCTTCGCTTGGTTCCACCACCGGCTTGTACTTGGAGCGGGAAAATCCAGCCATGGCATTGTTCATAATACCGGTGAAATTGATTGACAGGACAACATCTGCGGGACGGATTTCTTCTGCAAAGGTAAAAGTGACTCTTTCCGATTTGGTATCGTATGCGACATCAGACGCCTTTGCCAGCTTGGTCCCTAGGTGCAGCCGATATGTCAAACCCAACATTCGTTCATGGAAAAGAACAGGATCAGGAACAATTGGGATGTGGCTCTGTCACTAACCGTCCTTTCCAAAAACTTCAGCATTCTGGACTTCGATCTCCTTGGAGTTCAACACGATTGATTTTGTGGGACGGGTGACCTTGGAATCGATTTTGACGATACCCTTATAACCCCATGAGCCGCCGAACTGAAGGTCAAACAAAGACACATTGTAATGAACAGGCTTGACCCTGCCACCTGTTGTTAGAGGCACGCCAACAGATGGGTGCACGATACTCAGCTGTTGGCGATTGGTAACTTACACGTCCGGGAGGATATCCCTGTCCTTGGATGCCATTGCGCGGAATTCAGATGAACAGCGCCTTACAAAAACGGGTGAGGATAGAGCAAGGTTGACCCTACGGATAGACTGTAGGTGTGTCGAGTAGGGCAAGCCGGAAAGGGAGCGGGAGCGTGACGAAGAGATGGAGGAGGGGCAGAAAGAGGTGGAGGAGGATGAGGGGCAGAGGTGGGAAAGTGGTCGGACCGGACGATAAATTGGAGAATGACCACGGACTGCATGAGCATTCATACCACCACGTCGGCTTGACGCGATGCATCTTCTTCCCCACATTTTTGGGTCTGGGATTTTAGGACGGGGCCAAGTCTGCCTACCTACGGTTACTCTCGGAGCAGCTCATCAATTTTTGCAGTACACCGTCGTAGCAATACGAAGTGTGGCTAATTAAAACTTCAGGTTACGAAGCAAGCTTTCTCTGATGACAAGGGAGCTCAGAGTAGATTAGATGAAGGGGTAAGTATCCAATGATACCCTAGCCAGGAAGGCTAGTGTAGAAATTGGAAGGAGTAGAAAAGGTAGTTAAGGAAAATGATAATGAAGGTCAATAACCTAAGAGAAAACGGATGAGAACAGCAACTGCTAGATACCTCAGCTAAACTAGTACGTACCCTTGTTTCGTGAGGAAAGGTAGGGAACGGAGCTCCGGCGGAGCTCGGACCCGCCCTGCTCGAACCGAATCCAACAGAGTGGATACATGCCTAGGTAGACCTTTTCTATCCAACTTTCATGACGCCTAACGCACTTCTGGGTTGACGCACTCGCCTCTCATTCCGTTTCAGTGCAAGGATGGTCGATTCCGATGAAGAGTACACAGGGGAAATCTCTGAGGATGAGGATGAAAGCAATATCTTATCAGGTTCTCGTGGAGATACTACGGCCGCATCCCGTTCGAAGAGGAGAAAGCACCGTGGAGGCGCAGAATGGGAAGTCTCGAGAACATGGGAAACCTTAGTTGAAGGTGCCGACGGCACAATCAGCTCTACAGTCGAAGGGCTTCTTGAAGCTGGGAAAAGAAAAAGGTAGGGTGTACTTTTAGGCCAGGTAGCCCTCAGTCCTGATCAACGGTTCGAGCTGAGTTTCCATATCTTCGCGCTTGCAGGCTCCTCAGAGATACGACTCCCTTACAACGGGGTATAATCCGCCATCTCATTCTGATCATAGATCTGTCACAATCCATGACCGAGAAAGATCTCCGACCCACACGCTATCTATTGTCCCTACGGTACGCACAAGAGTTCGTGAGGGAGTTTTTCGAGCAAAATCCCATTTCTCAACTCGGCGTTCTTGGCCTCAAAGATGGACTGGCGGTCAGAATCAGTGATATGAGTGGGAACCCTACGGAGCATATCAGTGCCATCCAATCATTGCGAGACCAGGATCCGAAAGGTCTTCCTAGTTTACAGAATGGCTTCGAAATGGCTCGTGGTGCTTTGTTGTATGTCTTCTCTGCGCTAGCGTCGTACACACTAGATAAGAGCGGGCTAACCTATCTTGCAACAGCCATACCCCAAGCCATGGTACCCGTGAGATCTTCGTCATATTTGGCTCCCTCCTTTCCTCCGATCCCGGTGATATTCACCAAACGATAACTACGCTTATCAACGATAAGATACGTGTTGGAATCGTGGGCCTTGCCGCCCAAGTGGCCATCTGCCGCGAAATTTGTGGCAAGACTAACGGCGGTGATGATACCACATACGGTGTAGCACTCAATGAACAGCATTTCCGTGACCTTGTGATGAATGTGACAACACCGCCAGCCACCTACTCTCAGAAGCAGTCCACAAGCTCACTCTTGATGATGGGGTTTCCATCCCGAACAGTCGAGGCTTACCCTTCACTTTGCGCTTGCCATTCCAAGCCTTCTCGTGGGGGGTATCTGTGCTCACGGTGCAACAGTAAGGTTTGTGGTCTCCCTGCCGAGTGTCCTTCCTGCGGTCTTACTTTGATCCTTTCAACCCATCTTGCTCGGTCATATCACCATCTGTTTCCCCTTATGAATTGGGTGGAAGTTTCGTGGCAACATGCCTCGCGCAGTAGTGCCTGTTTTGCATGTGGGATCTCCTTTCCACCAGTACCACCTAAGGAGCAGTGGCATATTTCAGAGGGACAGACAAAGGGAATGAGCGTAAGCAGCCGCTATGAATGTACTGTGTGCAAAAACCATTTCTGCATTGACTGTGACCTTTTCGCTCATGAGGTTGTGCACAACTGCCCCGGCTGTCAAAGCAAGGTGATAATTCCTACGAGTTCTGAGCCCTCTCAGAACCACGAAGCTCTAGACAGGATGGATACCTCTGCATGATCATATGGTTGATTGCGAATTATATACCAATAGAATGGCCGTGGGGCTCGCTTTCTCGGTCGGATGAATAGATGCCCCCGCCATCGCTCTCGCTAGCGCGACTCAGTCTATTACCAGTCAAGCTGTCAAACTAACCGCCAGTCGAACAAAGTAACACAAACCCAGAGGCGGGCTACCATGCCTCATAGTAATTATCAATCAAAATGTCGGCGGATAAGGCCTTCAAATTCTTTCAGACTACGTTTCACCTGACCAAAAGTGTAGCCTCTAGAATCTAGGTCCGAGCCATACGGAACGGCTCGTCGACATACTGGAGTTGCAACACGAAACAGCAAAGTGGCGATAACTTATCCCAAATGCTTCACTTTGTTGCATCCGACTTCTCGCAACTGATTGATAAGGAGCTTTTGATAGAAATGATTCCATGAAACGAATTAACATTGGATAGGAAAGATCAGCCATTCTGCTAACGCCGATAGGCTCGAGTCTTAGCGGGAACCCCGCCAAAGGACCGAAGTACAAAGTATATAGTCTACGTCACAGCCTAGTTAAGCTAAATATCCAAATTAGTTCCTAATCTTCAATCTACGTGGACCTCGGTTAATCTTGGGCCCGAGCACCCTTAGAACGGACTCAACCACTGGCATCAATCACGAGGAAAGTGGACAACCAAGAAACAGCAACGGATTGCAAAGTAGAAGTGGTCGCTCTGTCTCAAATACACCGAGAGAATTTGCGCCTTCGCTTCGAGTGCCCAAGGCCGCGCAACATATTCTTATTTAAAAACTACGTGAGCCCTCAAATTAGCCCATTGGGGTAGTTTGAGCCTGCAGCAGTTTGTCACGAGATGGCACAGCTTCAGCCCTCGGAGATTGAGCTATTTGAAAAATTGAGCTCATATCCCTTCAGTACGGATCGTGAATTTGCAGTTGGGCTTTCCATCATTTTAGGTCACCCGGAATCTCCTGCGTCGGAAGAGGAAATCAATCGCAATGATGATCTTACACTACAAGCTAAATGCTTCTACTTCTCAAGGTATACATACGATCTGTATCCACCCGCGACCCCCGGTATTGTAGCATATGCATATGCCACTGTATGATTATATACAAATACTGGTACTGATCTTTGTCACCGTGCCTTGTTCGTTCTCAGGAAAGAAAAGCTCATGCCACCACTCGAGTTCTCAACATACAAAACATGGTTGGAATCAGCATCAAAATCCAAGTCCGCCGATCTTTCATCACCAAGCCCTACAATGGACGTTCCAAATTCTAAAGAGGAGCCTGCATATCCTTCATCCTTCGCTCATATAGTGGAACTCATCACAACCGGTCAACCCATTCCCGGAATTCAGCAAATTCCAGACACCGTCTTGACAGGCCATGACACTCCAAGCGAGAAGCCAGAAAGGCGGAAACCATGGGAGAAAGGAACAGCTAGTGAATGACGGGATTATAGCTGCTCAGCGTTACACCCAGTGGCTGCAATCGTCCGGGACCTGGGGATCTACGTTCTCAAATGGAGGGTACTGAGCAAGTCCAGGGTTGTGGTCAGCATGCAAATATTATTGTTCCTGCAAGCCACAGGGTTGTGAGGGATAACAAGATTCGGACAAATGAGTGGTTGGTATGATACATCAGTTCATAATAAAGATATAATCCCGACAAGTAGGTGGACTAGAAGTGTTCGCTTTCGTAAACCAAGCTCCTGACCTGCACAAGCAACTCATAACTGTAATTGTCGACCCATATAGAATCTCCAGCAACTTCAATAAAAAAAAGTTATAGTTTCTGAGTCCATTTTGATGCTACTCGCTTGCTCGAATTTTCCCTTCATATTTCGTCTCCATTTTTCTTCTTTCTTTCAATCCGGTGTATAAGGAGGGGAGGCGTCTTGGGGGGCATAAGCCGTTTAGCTCCTGCACAATGACTAGAATAGCGCGTATGAAGAAATATGCTAGACAACCTCATGTTGTCGAAACACGCTTCGAGATTCCGGCTTCCGGTATATGGGATGCTCGATGCCTACTTGGGTCGACTTGAAAACGATACCTTTTGTGAATACGAAGCATATGGCTAGAAGACGAAGTGCAAAGGTACTCCCTCGAAACTTTCAACGAAATGGTGGATAATTAGGACTCCACTGGTTCCCTCGGCTGAAACGGCCTCCGTGCTGTCCAGCAATCGGGAACCTGTCCTCATTGAAATTACCATAGCGATTGATTGGCATCCCAGAACCTGGTCCTGGGCGAGTTGTATGGGAGGGATTGCAGCAGAGCATAGCTACACGTGAACCAAACTTGGATCCCCGGAGAGATACCATGTGTTTCCTTCGTAGATATCCGGTTAGGCCTGTGCAATGTCATAATGAGGGGAAGGACGGTACCGAATATGGCTGGCAACCAGCTCACGCTGATGTGGTGCAGCATTCATCAAGATCCATTGAATTAGGTAGTTTCCATACTGGTCCCCAGCAACTATACTATATCAGAAACCTTCAGTTCAGGCTGAGAAGGGTACTGTCAGACTTACTGTCAATCAGAGGCATTCTAGGACGGTCAGTTCGGCCAGTGCAAACTCGAGCAAGGTAGCGGTCCAAAAACTCGGTACCCCCTATCTTCAAACATTTCTCTACAATCTTGGAGGCGAACTGGTCCATGCTATAATCCACAGACCAAAGGATAATGTGCTCTATTGCACGACTCTTATCCTGAGGAGCACCATGCTCACAGATATGCTGGATACACCAATTTCCGAATTGACCGTGTGCAAGCACATCAATTTTTGCTAGCACTTCTTCGATCGCTGGACGCTGGAAACTTTGTCAGCATATTCATCATGCAAATCATGGAACTTCCATGTAGGATATATCAACGGTTCAAGCTTTGGGAGCTGCAATGGTTGAGAGGACGACAAGACGAGAGGCACAGCTTGTTGAATAGAAATGACAGTGGCAGGAATTAACGTATAGGAAACACAGTACCTTCTCATCCTCGACGCAGTTTTCGAAGATATTCTGGACTACCAAGCTCCCTGTCTCACCCAAGGCGACTTCATGCCACATCCCTCGCAGTGATTCGTTGACTTTGGTCATTATCTGGGGCGGCTCCCCACTCCAACGTAATTCGAAGAGTTTCTGCCAGACATGGCAAGCATACCGGTGGATGACAGTTTCTGGAATTCTGCGTAGAAGCTCGTGGACCATGACTGCCTTATGTTCTTCGGGAACACAATCAAACGCTTTCTGTATGACATGACAGCCGAAGGGATCCATGCTGAGACTTAATGTGTTTCCCTTGATCGCATTAGCAATTGACACGACTTGCTCTGGAGTCCCGTGTTCGAAGCATCGTTGCACTAGAAAGTTGCCAAACCGATTGACCATCAGGGGATAGGCTTGGTGTACTATGGCCTCTATGATATCATATTTCTGCTCTGTGGTCCCTACCTTCAGCTTCTGCTGCAGAAATATTGACGCTTGTTGATCATTGTTGCAAACAATCTTGTCAACGATATATTTCCAATCACAAGAGACATTCCTGTCGAGGAGCCGTCGGTAGTTGATTGGCTCGAGGGGTGAGATGTATGTTTGATTGGTGTTTCCTCCCGCCTGGCAACATAAGCGTGGGACTATATCAAATCAATTCGAGCTCGTACTCACCACAGAAGTTGGCCATTGCGTTGCACTAGGGTTGGAAGCTGTGAACTCGGTCGCCGTGGGTGAAAGTGGTGTTCCAACCGGCCGCTGATGGTATTGAGGGATGGGAAACAGACCAACATGTTGGTAGGTGTTAGTGGATCTATTCACAGGAGACCTAGGTCCATGTGAGTCCGAAGCGCCAGGGGTAAATGCACTCCAAGCCGAGCTTTGTGGCTGAAAATAAGGTCCATTGCGGCTGGCTTGAGTGATCGAACGGCGAGGCCCGAGGCCGGGTCCTTCGAGAAATCTCACCTGTTCTTCTGGGAGTTTAGTGTCGAGGGTGTAACCCCCACCGGAGGGCCCTGAAAACACACGATGGGATCGTAAAGCATCGTGTCCAGGTACACTGGTATTCGTGCCCGAGTTACCCCAAAATCGGTTCGAATCTCCACCGAGTGAGCCAGCACTTGGCAAAGATATAGGCTCGCCATATGATCTTTCGATAATGGGGGCACTAAGAGCCGTACTACACACTTGCTGCGTGGGAGTATTCCAGTATCCGCGAGATCTATTGTAAGCTCCTGCGGAAAGTGCATCAGACATATCCGATTGTGAATCGTCCTGAGCATTCCATCCATCTTGAAATTGGCCATATGCCGGGTTGGATGAATTAAGGGCGCTCTGGAGATTACTTATCGTTTGTTCCGTGATGTCTCCATTAAAATCGGTTTCAGAGGGTGGCCCAAGTGCCTGGTCTAAGGTATGTTTAATCACGCGTGTCTGGGCCAGTTCCTGCTCCTGGAGGGCGATTTTAGAATTAGCGACAAGCAATTCTTGCTTTAAACGTAGTACCTCGCACATATCAACCGATACGGTGTCTGCTTTGCCAACATCGACCGAATGTGAGACGTCCCTAGGTCGCTGAATACTTGACGCCTTAATGAGCCCTGATTCGTCTCCCGACAGAACCCTGTGGTTGAGAAACGTGTGATTGGATGTTTTAAGCAAATCCTGCTTGTCTGACAGAGTCGCAACGAAATCTTGATCTCCAGGATACTTCGGGGTAGTCGACTGCGGCTTGGGCGAGAGCTTTGCTAGAAGTCTTTCCATCTCGGAGTGCCCACAGAAAGTGAAATTGCTTGAATGTTCTAGCTTCTGCTTCTAGGATTGTGAGTGCCTTGGGTTTCTGGAGGTTTCTGGCATATCTGACCTTATTCGACGGGATGTCATGTTTGTCACCTCCAGAGACCTGGCAATCTCCACCTTTGGAGGATACTGTACAATCTGAAGGGCTGGTGGGGACATTCAAATGCTTAAGGCCCTGGACCAATAGAGTAAGCTATTTTAGAGGAGAACAAGTCTGGGGCTGCTCTAGGTTGCTTTCATTCAGTTACTTACTGACGATTCACGTTCAACATATAGTGCGTGTGTCGTAGCACTTGTGCCACTGTCAATGATACCCTCTTCACACTGCCTGCGTTCCAAATTGAGGGGGGCATCGGAATGTGAAGACATTTTTGGGTAGTCAGTTGAGAGCACTGCCACAGAAGTCACAGTTTGCAAATGTTGGCAGACACAGGATTTGACAGGAAAATAGTCGAAAGCACACTGGTGAGCAAGTAACGCGAGCTGTACGGAATCCAAATCCTCCACAGATAGTTGAAGGCTGAATATGAAGGAGATAGCTAACAAATGACTGTAAGTGGGGAGGTACGTTCAATTAACTGCGGGACAATTCAGAAGGCAAATGGCAGTAATGATCTGAAGACAGGGAAATCAAGGCCCGAATCTCGAACCAAACGCGTTACAAGGCCTGCGTCAAAGATTTGCACTCAAGGAAAGAGCGATGGAGATACCATTGCCGGGGGTAGCAAGAGAGGTGGAAACTAAGAGCTGCTCGAGAATCCATTTCCGAGGCACGTTGTGGTGCAATTGTTTTCTAATCCTGGGAAAATTTGTCATTGTAATATATTTTGCTAAGGAGTCAGTGATTTAACCTAAATAGTGCTAAGAACAAATCAAGAGACAGCGTTTGTCTTTGTTTATGCCCCTTGAACAAAACTACGGCTGAAGATTGCGTTGGTAATTTGTGTCATTATACCATGACAAGCAAGATTGATCCGCAGTGGCGGTTCCAGTCCATGTGTACAGTAGCATTGAATTCCCAAGATATGCAGTAGTGAAGTTTGTTGATTAAAAAGGAAGAAAAGAAAAAAAGGATGTACTGAGCGGCTGTCCCTTTAGTGCGGAGGCATAGATGAACTGGTTCAGATCTTTTCTACCTCCAAATGTGTTTAGTGGGAAAGATAGACCCTCTCACAACATTGCACCCAAGTACTGTGATCTCAGATATGTTGTATTATGACTCTTTTAGTTTGTGTTGAAATTCTTGGTGTGTAAAACTTAAGCCAGTAAACTACTTAGTTAATCCATATTAATCTTAAATATCGAGAACCATCTACTGTCCAGCTCAATAATAAGTATATTCTCTGTTGCTCTAGTAGTTATCCTTCCCGAAGCTGTCGAAATCATCCATGGCAATCAACGGCATAGAGCGTTGATGAAATTTATAATATCTCATGCTAACCAAGATTGACACTGAGAGGTAAAGACTTACTGACCATGTCTAAGCAAGTATATCGATATAGAGTGGTTACATGCTATCTCAATACTACACAACTTTGAAGTCAGAGTATTAATACTGAGAAGTAAAAGTATATATGGTGTGGTGTGAAACTACCAAAATATCTTGATAACTTGACAGAACAAACTCTTATTTATCTAACATAACATTCTAAGCGAGCTGTTATACTGCATCCAGCATTCGATGTGAAGGAATAGAGATAAGAGAGTCGCAGGTGTCCTCGAGGACATTTTGTAGCCGGCAGCACAAACCATCTTTGTTAGGGCCTGCGAAGGCCACGATCCTACCTCTTCCCAGCTCTTTGCATTGAGTGTGATACTGTCTGCAATGAAGTGATGTATAGGTCCGCAGAACTACACTCTCCTATAGGGTCCCAGAGTATTAGTAACAATATATTAGCTTTCGTCAGCTTCAGGTACTGCAATAAGGACCAAAGATGAGGCAGTTGTTTCGTAGAATTATCAGAAAGAGAAGAAAAATCAAAAGACAGTCCCCATATTTTTCCAGCGTCTGCCATGGTTGGGCAAAGTGAAGTCCGCTTGGTTGTGATTACTTCGGGAGGCTTATTAGTTATCGAAATATAAGGGCATACTAATTAGCAACAGTCAATTTATTTATGCAAAGAATGTCGCTAGTTAGTAAACTATACTTGTTTATGTAACGAGATCCCTGCCTATTCCGTCCATCTCTATCGGACGGAGAGACCTAAGTACTAAACCAGTACAAGTAAGTTCCGGCTTGCTTACTCCGTTACAACCTTAGTAAACAGGTGTATGTAACATCCCGCCCGAGCAGCGTGTTCCGAATACTCGATGTTAATTCGTCCATAGGGATTCGTCATCTAGAAAACTGCAAACGTTACCTTGCAGCGCCGTACTGCTGCTACCTACTACCCGCCTAAATATCCTGACGTACCCTGGATCACGCAAGCTCGAAAACATCGCGTTCGGCTTCCGTTATTGAGCCCCAAAAAGCCGATCTGTGCTTGTTACCGCTCAAGCCGACTGGAGGGCTCAACTGTCGTTCTCAATCGCCATACAAGAAGAATTGAACATTAAATGGTAAAGTTGCATTGCGCTTACATACCTGGAACTGGCTAATAGGACTGAGCGATTGTCTAGGTCGTCGAAATTGAGAAATTAGGACATGACCACAACGACTGTGACCGGCACTGGGAGACGCTCTTCTGTACGACTGCCAGACCTTCAAGTACCGGCGACGTCAACCACCTCGCAACAAATGACCAGTCCAATAGACAAGTTCCCGCCATTTATTGATGAAGTACCCGAGACTACGACCGAACCAAGAGAATCGCATTCCAATTCGATTAGATATGCGGCGACAGATCGCTGGGAACCACGGAAGCAAGCACAGTTTGCACGGGATAACAGGCATCCTACATTGAATTCGAAAAGACGTTCAAGGAAAAGTATCAGCGAGGCGATTAGCACAATTAGAACGCGCAATGGCAGTGTTAGCGCCAATGCACAAGAGTTGGCCGAGGCCCTTAGAGCTCCGGTATCATACAAACTGATAGTAAGATTATTGGACTTTCATGGATTGTTTCCTACCCTGTTGCTTACCCGGGTTAGGTTCTCTGCCTCATATGGTACATGACCTCCGCCCTGACGAATACCTCATCGAAGTCCATCTTAAACGCCCTTCCGAAACCAATAACTCTTACGATCGTACAATTCGCCTTCGTAGCATTCTGGTGCTTGGTCTTGACCTATTTGGCAACAGTGCTACCCTGGCTGAAAGATAGCATACCGGCCCTCAGGAACGGGATCCGTCCCCCGTCCCGTGATGTTGTCCTGACAGCTTTGCCTTTGGCAGTTTTCCAGTTAGCCGGCCATATACTTAGCTCTATGGCTACCTCTCAGATTCCCGTCTCACTCGTCCACACAATCAAGGGACTCTCGCCTCTGTTCACAGTCTTGGCGTATCGGGTCTTCTTCCGAATTCGATATGCCAAAGCAACATATCTTTCTCTTGTCCCATTGACTTTGGGAGTGATGCTCGCTTGCTCTACAGGCTTTTCGACAAACTTCTTCGGCATACTATGTGCGTTAGTAGCTGCATTGGTCTTCGTCTCACAGAACATATTTTCGAAGAAGCTGTTCAATGAAGCGTCTCGTGCAGAGTCAGAGGCAGAACCGTCCAGCCGGCGAAAACTGGATAAGTTGAACTTGCTTTACTATTGCTCTGGATTAGCCTTCATTCTCACACTACCTATCTGGTTCATAAGTGAAGGATATCCTTTAATCTCCGATATCATACAGGATGGCGCTGTCTCGTTGTCGGGAAATAGAGGCTCGCTGGATCATGGCGCTCTCTTCCTCGAATTCGTATTCAACGGGGTGTCGCACTTCGCACAGAATATACTGGCGTTTGTCCTCTTATCTATGATATCACCAGTTTCTTACTCCGTCGCATCTTTGGTGAAAAGAGTTTTCGTGATTGTCGTTGCAATTATTTGGTTTGGAAGCTCGACGACATCCGTTCAAGGCTTTGGAATCGCTCTTACATTTATTGGACTCTACCTCTACGATCGCAATAGCCATGATGACCTAGCGGACCAGAGAGCAAATGCTGACCATTTTCGCACAAGGGAAAGTATTCTTCCCCTGAATGTCCAGACGGCAGGCAGAGCATGGGACTCAAATGGCTATGGCGCCCCGGCGAACAAGGTCTCTCACTATCACTCACCAGATGGCCCTGCCTCACATACTACAAGTACACCTAAAAAAGATGATGATGACCAGGGCCGTATCCGTCCCAGAGGAGGCAGTAGCTCCCGGGTGTGGCTACCTCCTGGCACAAAGCAAGAGACCACTTGGAAGCCGAATGATTCCTAGTTCTCCCCTGTCTTACTAGTTGTCATTCTCAGTCTTTGTTCTATAATATCCGCTGCCTAGTTATATTTTGAGATTCGAATGTAGCATATTACGATGGCCTTTAGTGGCCTAGTATTGATAGTGTAGCCAACGTTTTATCTGAGTTGTCTAAAGCTGTACATGCCTAGGGACATATTTTTACTTCTTTCAGCTTGCAAATATCTGCCTCACGGTAGGAACGTCGTGCTATGATGCCGGATAAATGGTTTACAGGCCCGGGGAAAGTGTCAAGCTAATAATGAATTGATCGAGTCGTTTGGGTGGCGATTACTATTGCAACACTCAGCTTACGAGATCGGGCTTCTTAATGTATGGCATTCACGGTAGAACTTCAATATCAAGCTGCACTTGTCGGCTCCGCACCACGTGTTTTAACCGGGAAGACATTAGAAGCTTGCGAAATACGGACCCGGAAATAACCGATACATCATCCACTACGCACCAGAACAGGTTGACATAATATTGGTGCATTTGTTATTCTTCAATCTCTTGACTAAATACGGTAATAGATGTAGCGACTGTCAGTAAAGAACTATACCCTCATCAGGTGATCCTTGATGAATGACCCTAAGGAGCTCCAGCTCAGTGCATCTTCTTCTTGGGTCATGTTGCAGAGGAGGAAGGGAAATGAAGAACCCTGCCACCTACAATAAATCATGCCCGTGAATGAGTTATGGAGAGAAAGAGAAAAGAAGAAGGAAATAGCGTCGGAAGGGCTTATTAAGAAAGAAAAGGGAGTAGTGCGGACTAAATAATCCTCCGAATAGCCGAACCAATCCGCAGGCGGCAATTTGCGAGTGACGCCCCGGCTCATGGCTGGCAGAATCCGAACCAAGCCAAAAGTGCACCTCCCATCAAGAATCTCCCAGCACTGTAGACTTCCACCGGCGCCTTCAGATAACGTCCATTGCGCTCGCTGCTCAAGTCTACTCTATCCTCTCACATTTGTTTCTATTCACAGTATGCGGCCGCAGTTATCTCGTGCGGCCGCCCGGCTCGTCCGGGTTCCCAAGGTCAACTACCCCAGGACTTTCGCGACGACAATCCCTCGCTCCGCTGAGGTTGAACTCACAATTGGTAAGCTATACGCTTCTTGCTGAACTTACGTAGCTTTGCTAATCTCCCTCTTCATCTAGATGGGAAGAAGGTTTCAGTCGAAGGTGAATTCGTGTCTCAATCCATGGCTTCTCAACATCTTGCTTACATGGCTTAAAGCTGGCTCCGCTCTCATTCAGGCTTGCGAGAAGGCAGGCGCCACGGTTCCCAGGTATATTGGCCCAAACCATTATTATTGGCTCAAACCATTACTACTGTAGAGGATAGCTAACAACAATTGACAGATACTGCTATCATGAGTATGGTCCAAATTGCCGAATATCATTGACTTGAATACTAATCGAACCACAGGAAGCTTTTGATTGCAGGAAACTGTATGCCTATGTTTGTCACCGGGTTATTGAAAAGCTCACTAATCGTTTTTCTTTATAGGCCGTATGTGTCTAGTCGAGGTCGAACGGGCGCCTAAACCTGTGGCATCATGTGCTTGGCCTGTGCAGCCGGGCATGAATGTTAAGACGAATTCACCACTTGTACACAAAGCTAGGGAGGGTGTTATGGAATTTCTTTTGGCCAACCACCCTCTTGATTGTCCGGTTTGTGATCAGGGAGGCGAGTGTGATCTGCAAGACCAGTCAATGAGGTACGGCGCCGACCGTGGGCGTTTCCATGAAGTTGGCGGCAAGCGCGCGGTTGAGGACAAGAACATTGGGCCCCTTGTCAAGACGTCTATGAACAGATGCATTCACTGCACTCGGTGTGTTCGGTTTATGAACGATGTTGCCGGTGCCCCCGAACTGGGAACCACTGGCAGAGGAAACGACATGCAAATCGGTACTTATTTGGAGAAGAACCTTGATTCGGAACTTTCAGGCAACGTCATTGATCTTTGCCCTGTTGGTGCTCTCACTTCGAAGCCCTATGCCTTCCGTGCTCGTCCTTGGGAGTTGAAACATACAGAATCCATTGACGTGCATGACGCTTTGGGCTCGAACATCCGGATCGATAGCCGAGGAATGGAAGTCATGCGTGTAATCCCCAGACTCAACGACGACATTAACGAGGAATGGATCAACGACAAATCTCGGTTCGCGTGTGACGGTCTGAAGACTCAGCGACTTACAACACCCTTGATTCGCCGAGAGGGCAAGTTCGTTCCGGCTACTTGGGAGCAGGCCCTGAGCGAGATCTCCTCCGCCCAGCAAAACTTGCAGCTGAAAGAGAACGAGTTCAAGGCTATTGCAGGACATCTTGTGGATGCCGAGTCGCTTGTTGCCATGAAAGACTTGGCTAACAAGCTTGGATCCGATAACCTTGCTCTGGACCAGCCGGGTGGCAGCTCGCCTGTTGCCCACGGTGTTGACGTTCGTTCGAACTACCTTTTCAACTCCAAGGTCTACGGAATTGAAGAGGCTGATGCTATCCTTCTTGTTGCTACCAACCCTCGCCATGAGGCCTCTGTCCTCAACGCACGTATTCGTAAGCAATACCTGCGCTCTGACCTGGAGATTGGTCTTGTCGGAGAATCATTCGATAGCACTTTCGAATTCGAGCATCTTGGATCTGATGTCAATGCTCTTAAGGCTGCCCTTTCGGGACAGTTTGGAGAGAAGCTCGCTTCTGCTAAACGTCCAATGATCATCGTCGGTAGTGCTGCGGCTGAACATCAAGACGCGAAGGCGATTTTCGAAACAGTCGGCAGCTTTGTTGAGAAGCATGGCAACAACTTCAACACCCCTGAATGGCAAGGCTACAACGTCCTCCAGCGTGCGGCATCTCGTGCTGCAGCCTACGAGGTTGGCTTTACCACACCGTCTCCCGAAATCTCCCAGACCAAGCCTAAGATGGTTTGGCTGCTGGGTGCTGATGAGGTCACTACGAGTGAAATTCCAAGCGATGCGTTCGTTGTCTACCAAGGACACCATGGTGACCGAGGTGCCCAACTTGCTGATGTTGTCTTGCCTGGCGCAGCCTACACTGAGAAGTCTGGCACCTACATCAACACTGAGGGTCGTGTTCAAGTTACCCGGGCAGCGACTTCGTTGCCTGGTGCGGCTCGTGACGACTGGAAGATTATTCGCGCCACCAGCGAGTTCCTTAACGTTCCACTGCCTTACGATGATATCGAAGCTCTCCGCGATCGCATGGAAGAGATCAGCCCTGTTATGCGTCGATATGACGTCGTTGAGTCCACCTCCGTGGGCTCCCTTAGCAAGATTCAGTTGGTTGATCAGAACAAGGGCACACAGCCAACTGGAGCGCCTTTCAAGCGTGTTATTGAAGACTTTTACTTCACTGACTCCATCTCTCGAAGGTATGTAGAAGTAATACCCTTAAACTTTTTCTGTGAGGAAGCATCTCTGACCATGTTATAGCTCACCTACGATGGCCCGCTGCTCAGCAGCCAAGGCTACGGGTAATCCCGAAACTAACTTCATGGCTGCTGGAGAGATGTCGCCCCAGGCTTTGTATGGCTAAGATTAACACTTGTAGTTCTGATCTCCCGGTTTATCCTTATTATAGGTCTAGGCGTTGTCGTTGTAACACCTAAACATCATTTTTTTCCCTTTGTTCATTCCTCCCAGTAATGCGTACTGCTATTGGTTTCTCCCTGACAGTGAAGTTTCTTTCTTGAGATAGGAGAGGATGCGTCACTAGTGGTGATATTGTATATAAGTTCAAAATAAGCTTGAGAGGCTTGACGAAGTTCACTACATGGAAACATTGATTAGATCGAGTCACAGAAACTACAGAATGTAGATTATTAGGGATGGGTACATATTGATTGATGCACTAATATTCCCTCTGCTATATCTTCATAGCTCATCATCGTCTGTCTCGCCTGCGGTTTCTTCGGCATTGTCTTGTTGATGCTGTAGATCTTGTACTGTGTCTTTCCTTGATCCTGACCCTCTAGTGAATGGAAGCTCCCTGCGGGGTGGCGGTGACTGTTTTTGCATCCTAGATGGATGGTAGGCTTCTTCCGTTTTATTTTGTTCACTTACCCCCTGATCGATGCCGGACGCTGTGGGTGAATCTTCATCAGTGGTATCATCTACATCCTCCAATGGCTGCGGAGTGGAATTCGGTTCATCATCCGTCTCTGACATTCTTCCTGGGCTGATTTGAGGCTTGGTCTGATCCAAGCTCTCCAAGCCATTATCACTTTCAGCATCGTCATCGCTCGTTTCCACAATAGGACGTTTCGCATGCTTCATGCTGCCGACACGGGCCCCGGCTTTTGATGAGGCAGCTTTATGTTTACCAGCTACATTGTAATAATCCCAGTATCAGCTATTGTTGCCTCGACTCGAGCATGTGACCTTACCATCGTCCACATCAATTTTCGCCGAAGCCAACAAGCGTTGTTGATTGCGAATTTTGAGCTTTTTCTGATTTAGAACTTGTGTAAAGTTCGCCATAAGCTGTTCCTCATGGCGGCGTTTTGCAGATATGAAGTCTTCGATTTGCTTATTGAGCTGCTCGATAGTGCTGTCGGCTTCGTGATAGTGCCGTTGCAATTTTAATAACTGCTGCTCAAGCATATCAGCTCTGGCAACGGCGACGGCAGACCAGTCAAAGAGCTGGATAGCTTGTTCATCATCCTGCTTTAGCGCTATAGAACCGAGTCTTTGCTGTGGATCATCAGCACCACATCTGATACTTTTTGGTGGTTGGGATTACAGTTATTGTTTGGACCCTCCGGCGAATAGTGAGGACCAGTTGATTGCCCTGCCTACCCTGTCCCTTGATGCTAGCTGATAATTCAATACCAGATAGCAGATCTGAATTATCTGTATTGATCTCTAGCTGACCCAAGGCACGCAGCAGGATAAGAACCCAGTCCTCATCGGTTCCCTGGTAGCTCTTCGAACGATGAGTCTGCGCACGAGCCTGTCGCACTATTCTGACTTAGTATCTCACAATATATGAAAGAAGAACAGACAAAAGGGACAGTATTATGGACACCCCATACCAACCCCATTATACGGAAATTCTCCTTCCGTTGCAGTGAGATTCAAATCGAGTGCAGTCTTATTGGTACGCGCGACGTGGAGCAGCACATAACTGTCGGGCTCATCAGACCTTGGGACACGTAAAACCCGAGGAGGTGACCCGTGTTCAGACGTAGACATATTGCTGTGAATTTAACTACCAGGACTTGATGCAGTATGAAAAGTATTGCATCCTATTTTATATGATGCCGAAGTTGGGATCTGTCTAGGCTGCCTAGGAGAGGAAGGATTGTTGCCTGGACAAGCTGTAACTAGACTTTGGTAGCCGGAAGTACCCATGAAGTCCAAGCTTTGGAACTTGTATTTATTGTGTAACTTCAGCAAGGTGGCAAGACTACAAATCAATATTGTGACGACAGATGACTTGATCCTGAGCTAGACCTGGTACCTGCATTGGTGTGAAGCAGTGTGAAGCAGTGTGAAGCAGTACAAAGTACTCCGTAGTGCTCGGTGAAACTGCGGTACTGGAACTCCGTTCAATTGCTGCGATCGGCCGACTGTGTGGATCATCAGTGAGAGTATCCCAGCAACAGACAGTCAACTAGCAAGAGCCTAGCTATGACCTATGCAGTGCTAATAAAGGGACTAGCGAATGTTGGGTGGGTATAGCACCTTATTATCCATTTACGCGGCCAACCAAGGCGACGTAGCAATACCCAATAGAAGGGAAAGAAAACGGTGAAATCAAAGCCGTATTTGATCCAAGATGAATGTATGTAGTACTCAGTAGTTCTCGTCGACATTGCCGTCGGTCTCAGCCAAGCCCCTCCGCTCTTTTTTCTTGCCGTACTTTCGTTCCCATGGCCTCAGCTTCATCGTTTTTGTCATACAGACGAGGCTTGATAGCTGGCTCCGTGATTATTCGTCGATGATCACCATTTGGTGCCGTCGCGCTCTGGTTTCGGCGTTACATCCATCCCAGCCTTTTCCCTTGTGCATATTTCCCAGGTTGCGTTCCTCACCTCTGTTCCCTTCCCTTCTGACACCACGCGCCAACACTCGAGCGAATATCGGCGCACACGTTCTGGCCTCACGTTGATCATTCTGTTTGTTTTCTGTTGATTTTGAGAATTACATGCGACTCCACCTGCTTGGCCTCAGTATAGGGCAACCTGCCACTCACATAGATAGCGGCTTCAGTCGAGTTTCCCCCTTTTGGAACACCGTTAGGCTTCCCCCTCACTCCTTCTAACGCTATCGCTCTTGTTTAATCGCCAATGCACGATCATACGTCGCCTATCCGATCCGAGTAATTGACGCATATTCAATCTGACCTGTCTCACCAAGCACGGAATGACTTTGCTTTCCCTTGGCAGCCGAATCTCAGCGCTCGTGTGCTTTCCATCTGCTACTTAGAGCCCCGAAGATCTTTGATCTCCTATATGAGCATACATCAATTTAGTGCGAGAACATGGCTCCCTTCACTCTCGAGGTCCGCCACAGTGAGGAAGAAACGATCGAGTGCTGGGACGATGACGATGATCTACAATGCTACGAGGATATCCAACTACGAGCCGCATCAACAGCTACATCTGTGACGACATCGTCAGTGCGTCGGTCGGGCCACCGAGATTCGATTTCATCGCGTCGCTCAGGACGTTCCGATATTGATTCCAACGCAGGAGGGGACGAGGATTGGCAGGTTCAGCTGTTGGACAATGACGAAATCATTACCGAAGAAGCTATCGCTTCTGCCAAAAACGCCGGGATACCTTTGCCTATGAACGTCCCTCGATCGGCCCTCATTGGAGGCACCATCAAGCGTCTCGGACACAGAAAGCAGAAGAAGGATATAGTCGACGACTGGTCAGATGACGTCGAATTTCCAGGTCCCGACGGCACCCTTGAGTTAAAGCGTTCGCTAAATACGTGTTTTCCTGAGTCTCTTCGGCAAATCAATTCCGCTGCCCCAAGTCCGACCAAAACCTCCGCCCCGTGTTTTTGGGATAGCGAGGTCTCGACACGCCTTCAGTCAGCTCTTGCTATCACTTCTATTTCACCGCAAGATGACGAGCTCGTTGACACGCAAGACGTTCCTACGATTAGGGTTGCCAGGCCTCGGTCGCCAGACAGAGCAACGCGTATCGACAGTCCGACCCCTGAGAGAGGCCAGGATTCCACTGACAATCTTGAAGACGATTTCGAGTTACCGGCGGATGACATCCTGCTCCGGCTCTCCCCTAGAAAGACAGCCGTGGAAACTGCCGGCCCTACTCCCGATGATATCGACGTAGATTGGTCAGAAGGCAGTATTGGAGTCCGGTTTGGGGGTACTGCAAGGGATCATCCATCGGTTCCAAGCTCTTCGGTTTCCGTTGTCAGCCCAAGTTCATCGAGCTGTCTCACGGTTGAGAGCGAAGATGAAGGCCTTGATGGCCTCGTCATCCCAGAAGGCCCGCTTGACTTTGAAGCATCCTTAAGGAAGCGGAAAGAATCGCCCAGTGATGACGTACGGTTAGAACGGCGTTCAGTTAATCAAACGCCAGTCCTTACTGACGACTTCTTCTCGGGCCTAGAAGTCAACAATGGAGAAGTATTTAATCCTCGCAGACTGTCGATAAACCCCAACGTTAAGTGCAAAACGGAAATCCCCAAAAGTCCTGCGCGGCACTCAACAACTACAATCACGTTCACGAACACGGCGGTTTCCCCAAAGACTCGAATTCCTCGCCTTTCAGGACACGACCGTCCTCATTCAACCCATCTCGAGACTGTGTCGGAGAGCGGTGCTCCTCTGTCAAGATTTCGGTCGTCACAACGCCGGGCTGGGGGTCATTCGTCACAGTCTTCCGTCTCCAGCCTTCCTGGGTCTTCCACTTCTCAAATGCCGTCAACCCCTAGTCGAAGGCTCATAGGGGCTGGTGTATCGAATGATAGCTTTTCTAGTGAACGCGTAACTTCAGGAAGGCAACTACTGAGGACCAAGCGCTCAATGCCAACATTACGAAATACACATCAGACTATCTCAAATATCCAAAGTCTGCCTACCCTACAAGATGGCTCGGACGTGTCTAAATACTACGCCACCCGACCGAAAACTCCTGTTGACCGGATAGGAAGTGATGCGAAGACTTTCGCTCGTAAACCTCAAGCACCATTTCTTCCTGCCGGTGCCTCGGATAAGCAATCGCATCATGCCAGTGTCAAAAATTATCGATACAATCGTCGGTCCAGTTCAGATAGTCCCAATGATGCATCAAACCCTCAAGGACATGGGACCCGACTGCCGCGATCTACTCGCCATGATACTATGGGTAAGACTCTCAATGAGTCTAGTCCAGAGGCATTGGTTGCTGCAAGCAAAAGAACACTTACACGACCTACTCGACGGCGTAATTTTGGTGATGGTTCTGAATTGGCACTATTTGACGATCTGCCCACCTCTTCTTCAGCAGAGAAAAAATTCGTGAAGCATCCTTCGGGGCGAGGTGTTCCGAGGACACTTAGAAGTAAATTAAGCCACGGCCAGTCTAATACAGCAAAGGCAGATGCCACAAGCGAACAAACCACACCAAGCGCTACGATCAGGCTCAACAATGTCACGCCAAGGTTCGCACGGGACACGAACGCTTCGAGGAACGCAAGAGAACAGCGCATTGCATCGTTAACGAATACGCCAAAGAACCGCGACAATCACCCGCTTGCTCCTCTTGGGATAAATTGGAAGCCTGCGAATGTGTCGCGGGTGCCTTCGAACTCGGCAACTATCCGGAGCAGGAAAAGCAAAGCTGCGCCAGTGCCTGTCTCCAAACCACAACTAATCAAACCCATGGGTACGGGTGTTCAAGAGCCCAAATGTAAGTTCGGCTCCAGTACATGATGGGGAAAATGCTGACAGCCTTAGCTCTTAACGGCATGCGTTATAATCCTAGTTCCTTTTGCTGGGAAGGGAATGAAAACATAGTCCAGGATTTTGACACTATGTCCCCCAAGTCACCAAAGCCGACCCCTGCTCTAATCACGAATATAGGCGCGATGAAGAATGTGCAGGTCGTCGGCGGAATGGTGTTTGATCCACAACGTATGTGCTGGCTCAAATTGGCGCCATTACAGCCGGGTAAGGATGGGCTGGTTGCTATTCAAGACGAAGACGATGTCTTTGCAGGTCTAGACGACCTAAAAGAGCCGTCCAATGCCGCGGGCGGGCGAGTTTCAGGCGCCTATGATGAGTTCGGTCTCGCGGCCAGTATTGATGACCGCAGCTACGAAGATTCATCGGACGAATGGCCCATAACGGAAGAGTTTGACGTGGGCCCGGAGTTTATCAGGCGCCAGCGTGCGGAAGAAGAGAAGTGGAGGCGCAAGGTCGATAAATGGACCACTCATGATCGTGGAAGGTTCGGGGACGGTTGGAGATGGGCTATTCGGGATCTGGTGAGATTCAATAATAGCACGCTCAGCACACAGCACCTTGACCGCACATGACTCGGTCGCGAGTGGCGCTCTCAAGATCAGGGGGCTAGGGCAATAAGAAGTGGTGAAAGGCCGCTGCTGTTGCATTGAAGCAGCTCCTATTGGCCTATGCAATCCAACCCTGCTGCCAGCTTTCAATGGCAAGTGGTGATGAAATGGGAAGACTCATGATTATTCTACGAGACTATGACTTAAAGAGGTGCGATTTGCTTTCCTTGTTACGAACCAGCTGTTATATGTAACTTATTACCACGCCATTGATGGACAGATGACTTTTTCAGGGATGTATAATAACTGATCATTTTTATGTGAATCCAACTGTAAATGCTAGGAGGAATCCAGGAATGTATCCTTAATTCAAAAGCCATCAGCTACTGCCCAGGGTGCTTGGTCCCAGGGTCTTGTAGAACAAACATATAAAGTCTAGTCTCCTTGACCATGATAGCGCCTCGCCATTCCATAAGACCTGGATTGTCGAGGTTAGTAGTATCATATACTTGCCACAGCCACTGAGGGACATATTTGCGGTTTCGTAATTGTGGTTGTGGTCAGCATGGTTGTTTAATAAATACCTTACAATACCTACGTGGGCTGGGCCTTCCTGCTTGGCGTGTTAGGGCTGGGCAAAGTGAGGCAGACAGAGATCCTTGGAGCAATTCATTATGCATGTCCACGGAATCTAACCCTCCTGCACTACTCCATATTCCATATGATGAACTGAAAAAAGATCATTATCTCAAACCCTCATGGCTGCATACTTGTCTGAACCTCCTAACCAGAATTTGTAGCACAGCCCTAGAATCCAGGCTCGACTAAGACGTACCAGTTGCGATCACAGCTACTACCTGGCAGGAATATCCCCCCCTCGCGTCGGAAACTAATCTATATTTCTTACTAGATCATAAGCTTCTCTTTCCGATGGGCCTTGACATCTCGTTCATGATGCAAAGGCTCTTCGGCCCCAGCCCCCCGCATCCCCGGGAGTTCCGGATTGTTCGTATGTAGTAAGTAGCGCTTGCCCTAAGCCTGCAATAACATAGCCTGCAAGATCATGAGAGTCGAGTTGTCAGAATTTGTCCGAAAACAGCTACTGCTTTATTGGTGGGGTCGGTTACTGTTTCCCAGCATTACTGACCCTTCTTTGCAGGCAGTGAGCAGACATACCGTGCATCTAGCAGCGCACACCCCTGCATAGATGGGAAGAGACCCAGATGATCATTCATCAGCCCATCCAATGACGCATCGATCTACGTGGACAAGACCCAGCATTATGAAAAGGCCGTACTTAGCAAGAGAATCCTGCCTCATAAACTTCTGTGACTTAAGAGAATATGGTGTTAGTTCCTAGGTCCCGTGTCGTCCACATGAACAACATTCAAAGTATCCAATCTTCGCAACCCAGGCAAACAAGGGAACGATCAGGTTTTCAATGTTGCTTTACTTAGTAGATCAATGGAGGACACTATTTTTAGAGATAAGGTACCGTAGTCTAAGTTCAATAACGCCACCGTCTAGCCTGAAACTGGCGGAGTGCTGTCCCTCAGCAAGATTCTTCCACTGGGAGAGTGAATATGCCAAAATATCCATCCTAATACTCACAATTGCGTCATCAACTTTCCCAGTTCGGAATATGTGAACAGATCATTGGAGATTTTGCAAGGGTAAACTTCCATCACTCCCTCTTCGACTGTGCAGCTTTTGGTCCTCTCCTGAGACAGTGAGATGACTTGCAGGCTCTGAGCCAGGTATACCGGCGCACCGTAGAAGCCAAGTCGCATATTATTTGCGAAGAGGATGCTTCTTTGTTGACACTTAAGGTACCACGAGTCAGCATGAGAGGCTCCAAACCGCCATCAGGGTATGGAGGGCAGAAGAAAGAAAAGTTGCTCTCTTTTATCGATGGAGTGTGGATACAAGGCGAAGCAGATAGTAGAAAGCTGTCCACTTAAGTGAAAAGCGGGCTAACGAAGCGAAACAAGGCTAATATGATTTCAAAGAGAAACAATCTACACTTGAACCACAGCAATGTCCATGGTAATAACTAGTAGCGATATTTTCACTTTCAGGTCAGTATAGAAAGTGAATGATAGTTGATTAGTCGCTATGCATGGATCAATAACATCATGTAAATCACAACACACATATAAGAACCAATTCTCGAAAGGTGTTGTCTATCCAGGAAGTTGCTACGCAGCAGATCAGGAGGCGAAAGAAGGAAAATGGTTGGCAGAAGCATCTAAGTACTTCTCTATGTGAGTAATACCTCTCCAAGCTGAACTATTATCGTTTGGCCTGACTTAACATACAGTCCCATGTATTGGGCCCGTGCCTAATACTCTATGTATCCTTCGCGTATCGCTCAAACCCCCCAGAAAGCTGGGATTACCCAGTAGTAGTAAGCGTACAGATATTCTGATCTGGCAGCAGTCAGCTACTAACTTTCTCGAACTAGCGTATTCGGACCTCTTACTGTATGTACATGGGACTAAGGCAGTTATAAGTTCAGTGGCGGCGTCTACAGGCTGTATGTAAGCTTCATGGGTACAGGCTTCAGGGTATATCCCTGCTTGTTTGCGCCTTTGTAAGACAACGAGTAACCCAATTTAGGTGGGCATTTGGTTGATGACTGGGTAAGGACGAGGAGCAATGATTGAAGCGGGTCTGCTCACTGCACAATGATCATTGGTGCTGGACATGGTTAGCAGACGGGTGGAACGCTCGCAAAGGTTAAGCATCCATTTCATGAGAAGGGGGAAGCAATGCAACCCTCACTAGTCTACATCTCTCAACCAAATGAGCAGAATTCCATATACAATGTCGACACCCGAAAGGGTCACACAAAGTATCGAAGTCCAAAACTGGGTGAAGACAGTATTTCATGCTGTCAAGTCCGGGTACTTGCATTGGGGGTAGATAGAGAAGACGCGTACATAATACGAGCTACATGGTGTAGTGTAAAGGACAATCCTCGCCTATCTTACTTACCTTCAGGGGGGTACTGCCCTTGTGACGATAACACACCTACTCCTGGCTCCGTCCCCAGTACTCGATTTCGTCAAGCCCTCCTTTCGCATGGTGACCCCGAGTCGAGCCGGGCTGGGATTGATTAAGAGAAAGTATTGATATCTGGCTAGTAGTGCTTGCTATATGCTTCTGATGAATTCAGCATCATGTTTGGTTTGGCTTGCGGCAAACCCGAATAGGGCTAATGGGTGGGATTAATGATGTTGCTCATGTGACTACTACTAGTAGACATGTTTGATTGACGCCATGTATCGACTTCTTACTGTTCGGGCTTCTCTCTTCAACGGCACGGTGATCACAGTACACACCTCTGTGTGTTAGACAGCGATGATACCTGCCTATTCACCTGCCTCCAACGGTTTTCTGTTAATCTCCCCCTCCCATTTTTCCTTTTTCATCAATCCTTCTGTACTTTTACCTCCCCGCTAAGATAGTCCCTGCTGAGATAGTATTTGCAGGTAGGCGACCTACATCAGTTCAATTTGGTTTGTCCACAAGATTCCAAAAGTAGTTAGGTATGTGTCCCAGGTTGGACCTAGTCACGCTCACCGATTATACACCCATTGGCCACTGGTGGACTGAAGTTTGAACGACAATCGTGGTTATTGCAAGCCCCAAAGACATTCGCCTCTAAATAACTTTCTTTGGAGCTTGGGTGCTAGTTTGTTGTCTTTTCCGACCCGCTTTTATTCTCTTGTCTGCCTTTGCTATTGTTCAGCTTCTAGCAATCAGTTTCTCAGAAACAACCTGGGGATGAATTATGTAAAGAGGTGATGTCCTCCAGTTAGTCAGGCTCCTGCATACCTACACTGTTTTACTTATAAGCGCCCGAAATCTGGGCATCGCCCATTCGGCGTATCATGTCTCAAAAGGAGTTTCGGTGTTAAGCAGTTAGTCGCCAGCTCATACATACATTAACACGCCTACAAGGGGGTAGGCACTTACCCAGGTATCTACCTATCCTCGTATCTGGCGGTTACTCAACAAGAAAAAGAAAAGAAGGAAAATTTGCAGGGCGAAGAACCAGCTAAATGGTTTCAAGAATGCCAAGTGTCACCCAATCGAGTGCCGGCGATGTCGACGATGCTGGCGGCGCCAGCAGCGACGATGTTATTGATGACGTTGTCCTCATTATCCGCGACAATTCAGAGAGGTACCTGGAAGGCAGCCAATTAGCCTAGGAAAGAGGTTTGGGGCCTAACCTGAGAAGGACCAGCACAGCCACTTTGCGATATTCTCTACCTCATGGCCATGTCTACTTTGGACAACATCTGTGACGTCGTCTATCATGATGTTCAGGCAATGCATCAGTTATGTTTGCACATGAAACCAGGAGTCGGTTACTGAGATACCATTCAATTCCTTGTCTCCATAAACCAGGTGCAGCATCAGTACATCCATTTTCGTCCTACATGTGGTTGCGTACTGCAGGAGTTGTCCCATCTGCTCCATTGGCTGTAATATGGCTGGCTCATACGGTAGCTCGTCATTTGAGGCCAGGACCGTGTATGGAAGAAGAAGTACTAACGAGGGGCACATTGTTTTTCACTTAGGTTGAGGTCCCCAGCTACGGGCAAGATATCCCTGTTCGAACTCTGGAGCTCTACTTATGCTGATCTTATGCTGACATCAAACTGACGCCTTGTCTGACGCAGATACAAGCCTGTTCAGTCTGCCGAACGGTATACTCAAGAGAGGCAACTGATCTCTCGTTGCTGGTATCTGCCGGTTTGTAGCTATCATTATCACTTGAATTATTCTCACTCACTCTCGTTCTATTTTTATTTCTTTTCATTTCGGTCATTATTTTACTCATTCCTTTCTTCATTCTGGGCAACCTGGCCAGGCCTCTCAATTACCTCGGACATCAATAGAAATTCGTCTTCTCTTCTCCTGCCTGGACGCAATTCGTGATTAATTATTGTCATTTACCCAACTGATATTTCGGCGTTCCTTCTTTTCTTTTTATTATCGCTTTGTGTCTCAGAATTTTCGTCTTTTTTTTTCCGAAAATTTCTAATTTCCAATTTTCTTTTTCTCTTTTCATACCCCTCACCTTTGCGTTATGATGCCTGATCCCTGTCGGTTCCACAGCTGTTAGCCACTGCTTTTCTTCTCGTTCCTCTTATCTAATCTTCTCCTTCCCTAATCTTGCAGTGGAGCTGTTCTCGTGGATGAATCCAAAATACCCCATTACCATTTCTCCCATGCTCCCTTACATTTATATTTTGTACTGCAGCTCGCTTCCTCTATCCTGGCCGCCCTCTGTGCATATGCAGAGTACACATGCCTGGAGAAAGAAGCAATATACAAAGTTCAAGGATTATTTGGTCTTTCTTAGTTGCGGCAAGGTTGCAGAATGGTTAACCTTGCACCCCTGTCAAATACTATGCCTTGGTCTTATGCATATCGTACCAGCGCATCCTATACGGACCGTACTGAGGCTTCCTGGAGGGTCTGGTCAAAGCTCTGTCTGCTTCGCCTTTTAACTGCCACTTTGTACCCACTTTTGCTTGACATATTTGGCCCTACTTTTTTACAGTTGTCAGGTCACAGTAGTCTGCCAGGCTATCGAAATTCCCCAGCATCTTCCCTCTCTGTCTTGATTAGTCCTCCCTTTTCCCTTAACCCTAATTCGGAGCAACAAGATTCCTTTACCTAGTCTCTCACGTTAAGATCGGTACGATTGCAAGGGTAGCACTTCACTTCCCAAGACGACTCATTAGGAGCCCAGTCATACGGTCCGTCTCCAAGTGTAACTGCAATCCAAGTTTTTCCCGTCTGAAGAATTCATAAGCGTCTCTCTGGGATTTTGGCAGACCTGTTCAGCATGAGTGGTTACCCAAGGCGCAATAATCACGATGGCTCTGATAGCTACATCGTGAACCACCAGCTTGCCTTACCTGTTCCATACAGTCACGGGGACAGTCACGACTTCGGGGTAAATGATACAGGATCATATCCTTTCCAGCAGCAACCATTCAGTACTTATGCGTCACATTTTGGTTCACCCTATAGTCATTCTGGCATCACATCCAGCACCCACCATCTGTCACCACATCATTCACCGGGACATTCGGTCCCGTCAACTCCTGATCATGTACCTCTTCAACATCATATCCAGTATATGCCTCAGTCACGTTACCTCCAGTCACCAGGGTTTCTCCCACTTCGTGATGCATTCAGTGAAGCAGATATTGAAAGCCAGGATTCGCAGAATGAGAGTTCTATGCTATCAGAGCCAGTCATCCCTCCACTGGATGGCTTTCCTAATGTAAGGGAGTTTGATCAGTTGATGAAAAGGTGGGATGAACCCCGTTTACTTTAAACTCACATTATGCATGCTCAAATATTTGACAGCTATGTCGACGACCTTTCCGTCAAAAAGCAGGATAAGGCCTTGATCCACGCCAAAAGAGCACGGAACATCAAGACTGTGCTGATGGACCCCAAAGACACGGCTGTGGAATCAGCCCAATTCCGGTAATTCACCCCATTGCAAGTGATATAGGCCCAACTTCACTTGAGGCTAAAGTTTACGTTGATCTAGATTCTGGGTAAAGAAAATGTTCAAGCTCCAAACAGTCGGCACCGGCACATCAGATGTTCGTCTACAATCCAAACTATCTAGGGCCTTTGGTGCTAACCTTGGGTGTGATTTTCAAGTGCACGAAAATGATTTGCCATGAGGGGAAACCAGTGGCTATTCGAGAGAAACTCTTCAAAATACTCACCAGAGCACATCAACAATGCCAACATGGAGGCAGAGACAAAACATCGGCTCGCGTTAGACAAATCTACTCATGGTAAGCTCGCTTTCCCAACTCAATCCTCAATCCCGGTGAGATCAGAGAAACCACATCTTTCCCTACTTCAACTTTTCATATATTTGAGATGTTCTTCTTCCCCCTGCATTCTCTCCTCTTGTTCATTCTCTCTACTCATTCTCAGCAAGCCCTAGGTTAACCATCAGTCCAGGGTTCCAAAGGAGCTTATTTCACGCTTTGTCAAGATATGTCCGACCTGCCAAGTGCGTCGAGGAGGTCCGCGCTTGACACCTCCTAGTTCAAGGAGAAGCTCACCTCGCCTAGAGGTACTATCCCGTTCACCAAAGCTACCATCACCGCCTATGTCTCGACGTGATTCAACTTTGAATGGACAGCTTGTCCTGGAGAGACCGCAGTCGGACTACTTTACCCAACTTAGCAGCCATGGCACTTGGTTAGACAGCCAACGATCTCTGCAGGAGAGGCAAGCCATCAGTGCAGGTCATGTACGATCCTTCAATGGGGGAACGATAGGCCATCTGCCAGGTACACTCCCAGGCGCCCTAGATTCGTTTCATGGAGATATGCCGGTATCGTCATCCCAAGTTAGCTACAATGCGGGCTACCCTTCTACGCACGGGCCGTCCAGCCATAGGGACTACTAGAGAGTGGGTAAACCACAATTTCTGTTGTATGAACAAGTGGGCTAAGCCATGCATCTGAAAACTTCATATGGGATGGTGGTATAGCACGTCTCGACTGTCTCCTGATCGCCACCTACACAATCATTAATACGAGCTTTCTTAGTCTTCATAGCACTGTCCATCATTTTCTTACTTCCCAATGAATATTTCAATCAAATCTGAAACGCGCACCATAGGTATCTAAAGCTGGGGATTCGTCATCGCTACATTCACTCAACATCAATGTCACCATGGTTGTCTGTGAGAGTATGGAAAATGCATTGTTTTGGGCTAAATCGACCTCCCGACTATGATTATTAGAATGCTAGATGACTTGTCCTCTTCGCATGGGTCGGGTAAGCCTAAAGCGCGTACCGACCAAGATTAGTTGCGTGAATATTTGCTACTTCATGAGAGTACCTGTCGCTGGACAACAGTTAACATTCAATGATAGCTAGACTTATATTTCCCTCCAACTTTCCGCGGAATTGCACAGTTGACCATCCTCCTCGGAACTCGCAATACCGTTTATGACGAAACCAGTCACCATGTACGCCGAACTTAAACAGGCAATGAGAACTTCTTGCCCTTCATAACCCTGTATGACAGTTAGCCTCGCCCCGAGAACTCATAAAAGAGGCCTGTTCGCGCTCACTTGGTGTAGTAGATATAAAAGAAATCCGAATATAATAGTGTCTGGACGATACCAGCCACGACAGGGATGGGTTGAAAGTGACTCTCTGCAAAATAGCGATAGATCCAATTAGGGATGTAAAGGGCGCGATACAATCCCAAAGCGAAAAGATAATGTGTCGTTATGGTGTCTGCCTCCCCAGTGCGCTGAAGCATGAAAAGCTGGGGCAAGATAGCCACGGACTCGAGCCATATAGAGAACGTCCAGAGAATCTAGTAAGGTCAGATAAAGTGTGACAGAAAAATCCTTCCAGGGAAAATACCTCTGAGACGCTATAATCATGCGGGAAAAGGAGAGCCAATAGTGCACTGAACCCTAGGAGATACTGCACTTTGAAGGTATCGGTATTGGGGTCATGCGTTGGTTTGTAGTCGTTCAGCATGAGGTAAATGATATAAGCTGACGAGCCGATGAACAAGATTTTGAAAGTCGTGTTGTAAAAGGAGTCCGTGAAAGCCCAGAACAAATCTGCAACAGAAGTCCGTCAGAGAGTTACGCCTATATAATTGATTGCTGAGGCTCCGAAGCTTACCAAGATAACGCGTTACAAAAACCATCAAATATAGCGCCTGGGATTTAAATGAAAGTCCTGAACAACTCTATACCCAGTTAGCAAAGGTTAAGAAACAATTGTGATGACAACATACACTTGAAGACTTCATCTTCTGCAATAGTATGAAAATGGACGCGAGGTGGGAAAAGTCGGCTTGATTGTATTAATTAGCAAGGTGCGTCAATTCCACTGAGAGCGAACGGACAAGACTCACCTAATAACCTGAAGATATTCATGATGGCGAATTAAGTCAAATCACCTTAACCTCAGGTACCTAATGCAGATTATCAAATGCTTGTTCAGTCCAATAGAGGGGTATCAATAAAGATCGGCCATGGGAGTGCTTATGAAGAAGCTAGACCTCCTATGTTGTATGCAATTGTTCTGCTAGCAGTACTGAAATATGCCTAGATGTTGACACGAAGCCTCAAGTGTATGCGCCACAGGGAGCGCCCCACATCATGTGTGATGCCGTAATACAAATATAGCCAGCCACCAACAGGGACAGCGGGCAGGGTCCACGGTACCTGGCTACCTGCAGCAGCAGCTAACTACTTTTATCTTGATCTGTCTTAGCTAACCGAACACCTGCCCCATGTGAATCAATGCTAACTATATCAAGTAAGACAGTTCGCACTACCTATACCTAATACTTATTCTTGGGAAGGGCCAAGAAAAAGGGAGAACCGGACATAAGAAAGAAAATCATTACGCTTATGGATATATAGTAAAAACTGTACATATTGAGCAACCATTATTCATTGGTGCATTTCTTGTTAAATGTGCTCCATAACTGTCAGAAAGCTTCAAATTTGTAAATTGTCCTGTGAGATGAGGTGTTGTGTGCGAAAACGGAAGAAATTATACCATTCCTACTTGTTCTGCTATTCGAGACTGCAATGGCTGGCATGTCAATGATAATGTGCCTTGACCTAATCTCAGAACATCGCACCAGCATGGACGCCTTCACCATCAGCTATTCGCTGTAAATGTCCTTCTGCCAGTTCACTCTTCAATGCACAAATAGAACTTTCCCTGTCAAGCCTGTCCCAATCTCGAATCCCAGCTCGCCTCAGCTTCTGACTGTCCGCGATTTGTTCGAAAAGTCTGTCTTTGTCTGCTTCCAGTTGAGACAGGCGCTTTTCCAGGGCAATGTCAAGTGCGGTTGGGATGATTTTTCCTTCGGGTATAATTTGGCGAAGGCCGGCAAGGTGACTAAGATGTCTCGGGAAACGAGGGGGATAGGAAGGTCCGGTAACGCTACCTTGTCTGCTGGGATGGGGGCGGGGCAGCTCGACGCCGGG